CCACAAATTTAAATGAAAACTCAAAGGTGAACTAGAGGTTCTTATCCATATCTATTGTGAGTACATTAGTGGGAAGAGGAAACAGATTATTCAAGGTTAATTAACAAGGAGAACTACTGTAGGATTGTACTTGTATTGCCAAGTTCCGCGTTAATGTTTTTTTCTCCCGAGAAAGGACTCAATAGGAAGAAACTGGTTTGGGACGTGTGATTTATTTCCCTTACTTACGGATTACAAAAGACTCCCAATCACAATATTGTCTCGAGAAGAAGCAGAAATTTATATTCCAGTTGTGAGAACTCGGAACCTCCTAAAGCCCGATCCTTTGCACGTTTAGTCGGAAGGAAGCTCCATTCGGTCGAAGGGACCTACTCTCAGGTAAAGAGACTATAGCTTTCCACCCCTGAACGCCCCCTGCGCGGCTCGAGGGTACCATAGAGGGCGCAGTGTGAGAGCGTCTCTAGTTTCGCAGCACGTAAGAAACATTTCGGATGCATAGCTTATCCGTTCTGATCGAACGCAGTATGTAGGGCCTTTACCATAGAGACGCGACCGGTAGAGTGACGCCAATCTGAACCCACAGATAATCCTAGCACATGAGGGCTTTCAACGTCCACCGGAAGTTCAGAGTGTGTCACGCTCTAATCTTTTCCCATCTCTATGTTGCCAGGTGCAGGGAGGAGGTGGAAGAAGAGGCTGCCCTATGAACGGCGGCGGCAGAGCGCCGCCCAGCGGAAGCGGGAGGCTTCGCCGTGACCGAGGAGAGAAAGGGACGAGGGAACAAGTAATGGCGGCCAGTTCGTGTGTGTGACTGAGCAGAGAAGTAGGAGGAGCACTCCGCGCCTTCGGGCCCTTGTTGGAAGCCCGGCAGCGCCGCCGCTCCTCGAAGCAGGGGCGCCGGAGACAGCGACAGCGCCTCCCGTCCTGGGGGGGCCCGCGGCGGGGCTATGGTGAACACTCGGAAGAGCTCCCAGTCCCAGCGCCTCTCCGGTAAGACGGCGGTGGCGGTGGTCTCGGGGCCCGGCAGCCATTTCATCTCATCCAGGACCCGCTTGTCTAGGACCAGCGCCAAGGCGGCGGCGGCGGCGGCAGCGGCGGCGGCGGCGGCGGCGGCGGCCGGGCAGGATGAGGAGTCGACCCGGGTGAGGCGGGGGACGGAGCGGCGCGGGGGCGAGAGGGTGGGCCGGCGAGCGGGAGGAGCAGGAGTGGGAGGCTGGCGAAGACCGGGGAGCGCTGAACCCGGCTTTCCCAGGTGCGGTGGCTGCCCGTCCGTGGGGCGCCGCGACCGGCCCCCCATGCTTGACGGGTCGCCTGTCGGGGGCCGGAGAGGGGTGGGTGGATCATTGTCCCTGCGCCGTCGTCGGGGCTGGAGTGTCACCGGACGGCACGGCACGGCGGGAGCGGAGGGAGCAGGCAAACTCGGGGAGAGTTTGTGGGGGCTGTGTGGGCTGCGCTGGGGTTCCTGTCGCTGCCGATGTGTCGTGAAGCTTTGGAGGTGGGACCAAGGGAAGGCGTGGGAGGGGGCGCAGAGGGAAGGGGGGCGCACTGGGGAGCTGAAGACCGGGACAGAGCGTAGAATTGGGGCGCTGTGCCCGTGGCCGGGGGATGGGAAGCATCGCCGTTAAGGTTGGGCTGCCGGCGATGTTGCAAGAACGAGACGTGAGCAGTGCGGAGTAGGGAGGGGGCGGGCTGGGATTTGCAGCTCAATCTAAGGGAGGTCATTTGAGGTAGAAGGACTCTGAGCTTGCAGCTGAAGAGGATGTTGGTTGCAGAGAAAAGCTGGCGGTGGCTGTGGTAAAGTGGCTAGCTATGACCAGGGGGAAGACACGCAGCAGTAGTGGAGGGGCAAGGCTGGGGAGAGAAAGGGGTTTGCGGTGGATGAGAACAGCTGACAGGGCAGCAGAAAAGAAGCGTGTGTGTCTGTTTTCCTTTATACATTTCTGTGTGTACCTCTGTTGTGCTAGGATAGATCGAGGCTCCCTCGCTGGTTGAATCTGGGATTGCATTTAAAAGGGCAGCACGAAAAAGTTAAGATTTGCAGTTGTACTAACTTTGCACAATTTTACAATGGGGAATAGTGTCGTTTTTTTCAAGAGAATGTTTGCAGTAGTTTTTTGTTTTAGTGGCTTGGGGCAATTCTTTGAAACTTAGTTCCTAGATAATTTTTCAATACTGATAGAATTGTACCTTTGGACAGTCAGGAGGTTTTCTTTTCAACATGAGTGCAACAATTTATGATATTCCATATCATAATAGAAATTGGCAGTTATCTGGAAGCATTTCTTATTTCTGTTACCTATATTAAGGTTGAGCAACTTGTAAGTCAAAACATTGTTTGGTGGGGGGGGAGCACACCTGTCAGTTTGATCCAGTGGTGAGGGATGTTAGGAGTTGTGGGGCTATATGATGCCCACTCCTGACCTAGATGGTGGCAAAAAGTTATTCTGGTGATTACTTCATGAACTTTAAAAAATGATCACTCCTTAAAGGGGAAGTGTTAACTATTTTCCATGTAGCTTAATTCAGGTGCTGCATATCTGCCTTGCAGATCAGTGTGAGAACATAAATCCTTCCTAGTCTGCTGCCTAAAAGTCTGCCTGTGCCTCCTACACACATAGACAGTAAAGTAGGAAAGGGGGAAAAAAGAGTTGTTGCTTTCTTCTTTGTATAATCACAAAGTAGCCTGAGTATTAGGTTTACCTTTGAAGAGATAGTGTTTTTCCCCTGGAAAATAGCTAAAAGGCTGTGGTAGAAATAATTTGAACATTTTAATCTATATTTTAAAAGTGGTGAAAGTAAGTTATAGTTATGGACAAAGAAGTGCATTTCAAAAATTACTCTGCAGAAGTAAAGCAATAGTTGAGCAATAAATAAGATAGAACCTTTTATCTTTATGAAAACTTCTGAAGCAGTTGTGTTAGAAAGTACTTTTGTTGTCCTTTGTACATTATCAAGAAATGTAGAAGAGAAATAATGGCGAAAGAAATGATAGAATTATGACCTGCAAGGTGATACTATCCGTGTCTAGTCAGAAGAAAACCCCACTATATTTAGTTGAATTCATTCTCTGCTAAATGTTATGTAGGATGGCAGCCTAAATTTAGTACAAGCTTTTCAGATATGACAAATTTTTACAGAGAGAATCATAGTGGAAAAGAAGTTCCTTGCATTTACAAAAGATATCTGCAGCAAAGAAAATCTATTAAAATGTTATTTAGATCTTGTAAAATAGAGTGTATGAGCATATTTTGAAAACAAATTGGCTAGCAATAAGAAAATTATTAACTAAAATCAGTTGTATTTTTACAGACAGCGTGTTAGTATTTTCATTCTGCCTTGATTATCTAGAGTCAGCATCCTAGGCATGGAAGTAAGCACAGTGGAAATTAATAGCATTTATTTCTGTGAACATGCTTACAATCAAGCTGTAAAATTATGAAATTGGTTATATAGTGATAAAACATCCTGTTGTTTAAAGTAAAAAAGATTTCTTCAAATAAGAGTGTTCTTGGATGAGTGCAGTTGCGCTAGTCTAGATTAAGACATTCTCTGAATAGCCATACTGTCACCTATCTACATCTCTGGTTGTTAAATTCATCAAAGGAGACTGTTCTGCTGAAGTGGTATTGTATTTGTATTTTGGCGCTGCATAGGAAAGATAAAATAGGATAGTACCCTGACTTGCATGGCCTAGTTAAAAAAAGTATTTGAAAACTATATACTTTTAACTATTGCACAAATATTCAAATGATCCTAAAATAAAGTGCTTTGTTCCACATCATCATTTTATTTGGTTTCTTGTTCACAAAGCCAGTGTTCAGAGATGAAGACTTAAAAGTTGTCATTATGACTGATGTAACAGTCTCTTGAAAATTACTGTTGGGAGAATGAGAGAAGTCCTTATTTAACACAACAGAAAAAAATTATATACCACCTGAGCTAGTATATACATTTCTTGATGGTGGAAGGGCTTTCAACAGCTCTTGATAACACTCCTCATCTTTCTTAATTGCAAATGAGGCACACAAAATTATGCATTCATATGGATTAATATAAGAATCTGCAGAGCAAAATACTCTTGCTTTCATTTGTTTAGGGAAGGTCACCCACTTTAGTTTTTAGATTGCTTTAAAAATATTTTAAACATTTAAGTTAATGTTGTTTAGTTAATGGGAATGTTCAGAAATTTCCCCATTAAAGTTTTGAAGAAAACCTAGTTATGTAAAGAATAAAGAAGATGTTTAATCACATCACAGAGGTGAAATGTATACCCCACAGGTCATCTAGTCCATGTTCTAAATAGATACTGAGTGTTTAAATAAGCCTTATGGATCATCGGTTTGAATTTATATTGTAACAAGGGTTATTCTGTGCCTAAAGCACCCTAAATATATGCTATGCAACCTCTCCTTGAAAGAGTTCCAAGAAGGAAATTGCATCACTTACTAGACAGCTTACTTTGTAGCTGATTTCTAAATCTTTAAGTTTTTTAATCTTATGAATCCATTGTTCTCCTATCTGTAGAGGCTATGGAGAACAATGGTTTTACCTCTCCTTTCTGATACACAATTGAATTTAAACCTATCATGTGCCTTGGTCCTTGTGCTGAGCTTCCTAGTTTTTGCAGGCTAAATGAACTCTTTTAATCATTCATCATATTAAATGCCTTTAAACCTTTTATCCTTATATCTTTATTCTAGGGCAATACTGCAAATCTAACAATACTTCCTGCTTTGCTGGGAGCAATTGGAGCAGCTGTTCTATGACAGGTAGAGATAGAAAAAATATAGTTAAATTTCACTAGGCCAGAATTCTCATAATTCTTTAGAGGAAGTCACAACAAGCCTAACACTTCTATACCACTTTAGATTTGTAGCGTAAATATACCTATTCAAACACCTATTTGTAGCGTAAATATACCTTTTAAAACACCTATTCAGAAAACATTCTAGATATTTTGGATTGTCACTCCACAGGATTCCTGACTTTGTTGGTCAGGACTTATGGATTTTAGGTACAAAATATGTGAAAAGTAGCTGGTTGGGAAGTCTGACCTTAAATAACACACCTTAGGACCAAATTAGATTATACTGGGGAGTTTCCCAACTACTTTTTTTTCCTAAGCAGCCACATGAGGTTTCTAATTGGCAGAGGGAAAGGTCTTCATAATGCCCTTTCCCTCATGGCAGATGCTCAGCAGAGGGGAAAAAACTATAGGTAGGTTCTGTCTCTTTTGTACTTTGGGTGGGAAAACAGCTGGAGAGTAACTTTGAAAAATGGTAGGAAAGGGCAAGTTTAAGTAAATTCTTTCTGCTGTTCTCACTCCTGATTAGAAAGCCTCAACAATTAAAAAAAGACCTAGGTCACACCATATAATGTCTGCCTTCATCCAAATAAGGTTTTATCTTTGTGGCCTGAAGAGTGTACAGAATCCAGAATAACTCAAGCATTAAACCATTTCCCCTTCTGTTGGGCAGTTTTAATAAATTGTTGTTGTTGTTAGTCGCGAAGTCATGTCTGACCCAACATTCCTCCAGGCCTTCCTGTCCTCCACCATCCCCCGGAGTCCACCTAAGCTCACACCGACTGCTTCAGTGACTCCATCTAGCCACCTCATCTTCTGCTGTCCCCTTCTTCTTTTGCCATCTATTGTTCTCAGCATTAGGCTTTTCTCCAGGGAGTCCTTCCTTCTCATTAGGTGGCCAAAATATTTGAGTTTCATCTTCAGTATCTGGCCTTCTAAAGAGCAGTCAGGGTTGATCTCCTCTAAGACTGACCGGTTGGATCGCCTTGCGGTCCAAGGGACTCGCAGGAGTCTTCTCCAGCACCACAATTCAAAGGCCTCAATCCTTTGGCACTCAGCCTTCCTTATGGTCCAGCTTTCACAGCCATACGTTGCAACTGGGAAAACCATAGCCTGGACTATACGCACTTTTGTTGGCAGGGTGATGTCTCTGCTTTTTAGCATGCTGTCTAGATTTGCCATAGCTTTCCTCCCTAGGAACAAGCGTCTTTTAATTTCTTGGCTGCAGTCCCCATCTGCGATGATCTTGGAACCCAGGAAAATAAAATCTGTCACTACCTCCATTTCTTCCCCATCTATTTGCCAGGAAGTGAGAGGACCAGATGCCATGATCTTAGTTTTCTTAATGTTGAGTTTCAAGCCAACTTTTGCACTCTCCTCCTTCACCCGCATCAAGAGGCTCTTTAGTTCCTCTTCACTTTCTGCCATGAGAGTGGTATCATCTGCATATCTGAGGTTGTTGGTATTTCTCCCAGCAATCTTAATTCCAACTGGTGATTCATTTAGGCCTGCCTTTCTCATGATGTGCTCTGCATTTAAGTTAAATAGGCAGGGCGACAGTATACAGCCTTGCCGAACTCCTTTCTCAATTTTGAATCAATCAGTGGTTCCTTGTCCAGTTCTCACTGTTGCTTCTTGACCCGCACATAGGTTTCTCAAGAGACAAATAAGATGATCTGGTAATAAAATGTAACAATATTTAATTGGCCTTAATGTGTTGAAGGAATAGACATAGGGAATACACTGCTCATGTACTTGTGTTTCAAGTTCTTACTTAAATTGGCAGTTTTAAAAAATAAAAGTGGTTCACCAAATTTTTGTATGATTTGGTCATTGTAATGGGCCTAATTCACAAGCTAACTAGACAACAATATTATAATCCACTTGGATAGCATGATAAATTAAGATACACATGCCATTTTTTTAATTCTTTTTGCAGTAGAAGGACTCAATGAAATAAATTGAAGTCAGCTATGTAGTCTATCCTTGATTCTAATTACAAAAAGGAAACCTTTCTAATAGGAGAAAACATAGTTATATCAGTTGAATGATATCTTCCTTGAATTTTGAATTATGTCAGAGAAGCTGAACAGACAAGAACAAGTGACTGAACAACTGAATTTACAGTAAATATAAAATGAAAGATGCTCTTTTTTATCTGCATTCTTGAAAAACACCCTTCACCTCTGTTGTATTCCCACTCAGAATGCCTTTTGCTGGAGAATTATGAAAGGCTAATTGGCTTTGGATGGATACTTCCAAAAATCTTTTGCTAAGCTCTTACTTTTAGCTTTGGAAACAAGTATGTTATCAGCTGCAACACCAGCAGTGGTTGCTGTAACTTTTTGGTAGCTGTCCATATGCTGCTTAAGAAGGCTTTGGTGTAAGCAAGGAAAGCATTTGTTGATGATTATGGAGTATAGCCAACCTGTAGTGTAATAGATGACATGTCTATACTTGTTACACCGGCTTTGATTTTGTATATAAGCTTTTGTGAACAAATTCTTGGATTTTTTTTATTTAATGAGCTTAAATAATTGCATTCTTACTGTCATTTACATAGAGGGACTGTAAAGATGCTTGAAAATGCTGTTTTCCTCTAAGTCTGGAAAATATGCCATTTTTGTAAAGAACAATTCTGAAAAAGATAAAAACAGTAAAATTGCTGTTCAATTGCTGTTAACAGAAATAACTAATGTATGTTAGCCATTGTTAAGTCTAACAATATGATTGTAAAATCTGAGACTGATCAAAGTAGCATACAAAATTAGTGTAGCCATTCAAAACATTCAGATTATATTTTGTTGGCTGACAAAGTACTAGAACTGTGGCTGCTCAGATCAACTAAAAGTGCAGTCCTATGCAAGTTTATACAGAAACAAGGCTCATAGCATGCTGACTGGGACGTGTTGGGATTTATAGGCAATTTTTATGTCTAAACTTGAAGAAAGATTATGCACTGAGTAACCATGATCACTCTGATTGTACTAGTATTGTGAAGAAAGATCAGTGAATCTCCCAGGCAGGGAATAATGGTTTGGTGTATCAGTAGGGTGGCCCTCAAAATCCTGGAGGTTCTACTGTTAGCATTGAATTGGTTCTACTGGTTAGAATTGTAACCAGGTTCTACTGTTAGAATTGTATTGCTGAGAATAATAATTCTGTGTACTTAGTTGTAAAAGTGGACTTTTGCAACATGACCAACGCTCTTCCCTTTGCATGTCTCCCAAATCTGTGAAAGAGGGTCCCTCAAAATTGGGCAGAGGTAGCTTTTTGGAGCACATACCATGTACAGATGGAGCCTCAACCCCCCATTTGGGGGGACCGCTTGCTCCCTGTACCACAGTCCTCCTTTTTCAGAAGATTCCCATATCCTCAAACATTTTTTTGGTTGGGGGATCTGGAAACTGGTACAGAAAGAAAAAGATTTGAAGTCAGTTGTATACTATCCGTGTTACTGGTTATGCTGTGAGTCTAAATTAATACATTGTACACACATGGAAAATACACACCTTGGTTCAAAATAGTATTAGTTTGCAGAGTATAGCCTTTCATGTTAGACAAATTATGAGTTTTGAACAGTAGCTTCACCAAAATAAGTTCAGGCTTTCTCAGCTATTATTAAAATTTGCCTGACAGTTTCATGTCCAGTGTTTCTAAGCTTAATTTGTGAAGTTCTTCAGAGAAGTATGTATAGACATTATTGTGCTCTATTTTAGGGGGAAAATATTATATTTTAATTACACTGCACTGAGTGCACAATGTCTTCTGGCAGTGATGCAACATTTTTTCTGCCTTGTTTGCTTTATCTAGTTGAGCTTTCCCATTCCACTCAAACAGGTTTCCAACCAGTTGTGTAGCTTCAGTTTCTACTTAGAACATAATTACTCAGACTGTTTAATAAAGAATTGTATCTTTGGTTTTCTTCAGTAATAGTGCAGGCACGCCTTTGGATACTTCAGAAATCATGTACAAATATAGCTATGGTTTGGTTGTTTACTGTTTAATATGTTAGATATATAGTGGGCTTGAGTTCTCTCCTCCAAGTTAATTAATGCAAAATATCTTTTATATGCATTCATTTTATAGTTCCATACATACTTGTTTATTATAGACTATTCAGAAACATTAGCAATAGTGGCATTCCAACTATATCCTAAGAAATTCGGAGGTTCTTAAGCAAGATAATTGGTAATAGCAAGGAGCCTATAAAACAGCATGTATGCCAGGGAGTGGCTGCTGAAAAGGCCCTCTCTTGTTTCATCATACAGTTCTGATATTTGCAGCCTTGAAATAATGGACTTCTGAAGATCTTATACTAGTCAGGCTCATATGGGAGAAGGCAGTCTTTCAGGTAGTCTGGTCCCAACCCCTATAGAGCTTAGTAAGTTGTAACCAGCACTTAGAATTCTGCTTGGGAGCAGAATTTCATTAGAGTCTTTGAGTTTTCCACCATCATCAATCTGGTTGCTTTCCCACTCATTTCATCACCTTGGGGAACCAGGGTACTTACTGGACTCAATTCTGCGGGAGAAAGAAAGTTCAGGCGCAATCACCCAGTTCATTTCTCTGTTCCAGAGATTAACTGGGGTGGGGCTTTGACAGAATTCCCTGCCAAGGTGCCAGGAAAATCCCTAAGAGCCATCAGAAAGGTATCTGGATCCACCAGTCTCTTGGGGAAGATAATCTTAATTGGCCTTATGCTCATGCAGAAGCTTCAAGTCCCAGCAGTTCTAAACTCTGCTAGGTCTTGATCTGTCCATGACAACGGAACCATAGACAATTTCTTTACCAGGAGATCACCAGAAATTTCTTCACTATCATCCCACTACACAGAAAACCAGATCCAAAATGTGCCTTGCTGAATGGGTGGGGCAGGTACTCACTGGGATAGACTCATGGTTGCCATGGAAAGTCCTGAGTCACTCCTGATAAAGAGGCTCCACCATGTCTTTTGAAGTCATCCAGCACAACAAGTTATGGAGACTCCCAACAGCTTGCTTAGGAAGGGAGGCTGTTAAGCAATGGGTTAGGCAGTACACCAACAGAAACCCTGCTTTGTCTCAAACACCCACCTTAGGGTCTACACACATGACACTGAAAGACTGCAGGATGGGAAACCTGCAGAGGGATTGCATTACAATAGGCCACTGCAATTCCACCTCTCTACCCTCCAGGTTTTGCCCTCTGCAACACAGAGTGAAGCTGGGAGAGATGTACTCTTCCAGCTTTGTAGCTGCAGTAACCTAAGACATTACTTTGGTTTTCACAGGATGGAGGCTTTCTGATGATCATTGTTTTAAACATGCAGCCAGCAGCTGCTTCCCCCTTCTTTTTGTTTTACAATTGTGGGGAATTTGTTTTATTGCAACTTCCATGTGCAGGGAGGGTTTAATCTTTCCTTCTTAGCTGTGATTTTAACAGCAATATCTGTATGGAGCTACTGGTATCAATGAGCATGTGGTTTAAAATATACTCTTTTATTCTGTCAACACTGAGCAATTCTGTGGTAGATAGCAGGGTCTTCCCAGCAGACAGAACTGCATGGAGAGGATTCTCTGAGTTTAGGAAACTTGAATTCTGTTGGATTAGTAGAAAATCTTTGAGATTTATTTGAATGTAAGATATTCAAAGCCTTTATCTTTAATTTATTTGCTTTTAATTCATTGATGAACAGAACTGGAACAAAGTTTCATATAATAAGTGGTTAGCAAGAATCATTAGGAACTAAGAAATGTTGTTTAAAGTCCTAGTGGTACCAAGAACATTTTTTTAATATCCTTTGTAGCAGAGAGATTCTGTCAGAGTGCGGATTATGAATGTATTTTCACATTAGAGGTATATCATGTTATCTCTGCAGTATGGTCCGAGGAAGAATTATTTAGCTTCTTTCCCCAACTTAAAACTTGGCCAGATATCCCACAGAGATGCTGGGAAAAAACAAAATACAATCTTCAAGATTTTCCCCATACCTGTTTTCTCAGATTAAATTTCTAAATTTTGACTTGAGTTATTTTTTGTGTGTGGTCAAATTCCCAGCAACTGAATATACATTTGTCTGAAAAGAATTTCCCCCTAAGCAACAAAATATTTCTTTAACTGTGATACTGTGAGAGGTGTCATAAAATGACACAAGCAACTGTTTGCTTTCCTTCCCTAGAGAGATGACGGTAGTGATGCTAGCTTAAGTGATAGCCACATATCTCCTCCAGCCAAACGTACCTTGAAACATGCTGATTCTGTATGCAAAGACAAATCAAAATCTCGCAGTACAGGGCAGCGAGAGGAATGGAGCGTCTCAACTGGACAGTCCAGGTAAGAATGTTAAAAATATTCAGATACTTTGTCTAATAGAGGGTTCTGACCATTTTGCAAAGCTCTGTAAAACTGTAGATTAAAGAATGTGGAGTCCCCTTTTCTTTATAGTGGAATTTACTGCAAGAAATGTCTATTTGTTGCTTAAAGCAGCATCCTTGTGACAAGTTATCCCCTTCTATAATTTGTAAACTTTACTCTGTATCCTTGAAGGCACTACTTTGTGCACTGCTTGACAGCCAGTGATGGACTAGGGAAGATGAATTATACCTGTGGAAGGGAAGAGTTGGGGATGCTGCTTTTGGTGGTAGTCCTTCATTTGTTGTAACTCTTCTGTTACTCACTAACTTTAGCCAAAGCATTTGACTTTATGCATAAGTGTGTGAGGCACAGCTTGTTCCTTCTCCCTACACCATTTTATTTCAAATGACAAAGTTTTGTTTGTAGAAAAGGAAAAGAGCAACCCCCAACTGTTGCTTACATTGAAACATCTGGATTTCCTCATGATCTCAGTGCAAGTTCATGTGCTCCATGAATACTGTATCCAGTAAGTTTTAACTAGCTTAAACATCTGTATCCAACCAGACAAAGCATGCATGGAAATCTTTGGGTCTGTTTGCTATGTGGCAACCTGCTGATAAATCATAGTTTTAATTTTGAGACTGATGCATGACAAGAGCTCAACTTTGGCAACTTGACAATGATAAATTGAGTTTAGCAGCTGATTTATCCAAATATAACTTGTGGTTGTGCATGCAGCGGCTCATTTGTTCTGCAACAAACAGAACAAAAACTTACATTGTCATAGGGAAAAACATACTGAGGTGGTATATGAAGTACTGGAAGCACTCTATTCTCCTGTGAAGTTTCAGCATTGCAGAAACCAACTGTGCAGAGGTTTCAGCTTGCGCTCTCTGTTTTCTGCAAAAATGAGACTTGTGGATTGCACCTCAGGTGCCTTCCATATTTAATGGATCTTGCAGCCCGTAATATCTGTGAGTCCCTTTTCAAACATTAATTGTGGGAATGTAGAAGTGAAAAACGCTCAGGTTTCTGAAAACTGCACAAGTAATGTACATTGTTATTTGTTCTGATAAATAACCCCTTACGCTGTTTATGCTAGTTGGAGCCAACATCTAAACATCCAGTGTTTTGCCCTTCCACTGCCAAGAAAGAATGGAATGAAAGGGGGAAAGGGGAAACAAAGGGAAGCGCACTACTAAAAGGAGCATGAGTGTGTGCACATACACACACAGAAAATTCAGTCCACAGATAAAAGAAAAAACAAATATATTGAATGTTTAATAACCCAGCATGTATATTTTGAATAATGTACTTTATGGATACTTTTATAAACATAACAGATAAACCTTGAACAGAGAAAATAATGAGAGCTTTTTTTGTACAAACTTAATTTACTTTTTGGAGTACTTTTCTAAAATTGAAAACTTAATTATCTTGCCAGTCATTTCCTGCACAAAAAAGGGTGAATGCGTTAGATGTCTTTCTGACTACAGCTCATTCAGGTTTTCTGTTAATTGCCTTATCAAACAGGCTCATCAAACAGGCTTACCAAAGTCCTTCTGTACTAACTTTATTTGCCCAGTTGTGTGTTGGTTGATCTTAAAATAATTTTCCAAAGTAGCAAATTGTGTTTCTTTAGCAAGAATCCTGTATAATTTCAAGATCTGATATATATTTTGAAATGTTTAGATATATGCTTAAAGAGGGGCATAGCTCAAAATGTGTGCGTTTTGGATTTGTTTTTGCTTGTTCTTGTTTTCACCTTTCAGCAAGCTTCCTTGCATTCTCTATTCTGAATGCAGCAATAATTGCAATACAGCATAAAGTCATGGATTATTATCTCTACTAATTACAATTAATACATTGTGGGAGTGACAACAGAATGGCAAAAAGGAGGGAAATGGCAAGTTGTTGAGTATCGCATTGCTATCCCTGGATCTTATCATAGCCACAGTGTGTAGTGAACATGTACCACACTGAGTCTGAATTAGTAAGGTGTGAGGGACTAGTGTGGGCCCGAAAATCCCGCAGATGTCCTCATCTTGAGTCCCCAGATTCCAGCTTGCTTTTTCATTGAGCATTTGCATGGTCCTCTGGCAAAAGTGGGTCCAAGAGAGTCTCCAAGGCTGGCTTGTGCACACACTGCCCATACTCCCATGTGCAAGTGGAGTTCTGCTCCCACACACAGGACTTGAGGGTCCTGTGTACTTTGCACAGAGAAAGGGCCTGCTAGTGTTCTTGAGTGTTCATGGACATGATCTCAGCTCTGCTCACTTCCTGGCTAGGACTGAGCGCAGGAAAGAAGTCAAGAGAGCACAAAAAAGCTGCTTTTGATTGTCTCTTTGCATCCCTAATCTAAATTCTGTCTGTTGGTGATACTAGATTTTTATGGCATGTATAAATACTTTATATGTAATCCTTTCAACATCCCACAACAGCAAGTCAGTGGTATCCCCATATTGCAAATGGAGAGCTTCCTGAGAGAATGTAACTAATTACTTTTGTCATTTGGCTAAAGCAAAGGAGAACCGCTTCTTCTTTTAGTATGTAGAACCAGAGGAATATATTTAAAAGCTTGGAAGTTGCCTTATAAAGTAAGAGTAATGGGCTACATCAGCCTTCCCCAACCTTGTACCTTCAAGATATGTTTGGACTGCAACACTCTGAACTCCTAGTAAATGGTCCTGCTGGTTATGAATTCTGGGAGTTGTGGTCCAAATTCCTCTGAAGGCTCCTAGGTTGGGGAAGGCTGGTCTATATGATAGATTTTCTCCAAACATTCAAGTGTGCTTTTCTGAGCTACATATCTTGACACATGGACTGAACTTGGTAACTTTTGCTCTGCTCTGCCACTAACCTATCCTTTGATTTGGATAATTTTTTTGGAAAGTTTTCAGAGTTTGAAAACTTTTTCTTATTTTTAACCAGAAAATTGCAGGTTCCCAAATACTAGAACCTGTAAATTCCTGAGTTAATTGTTGCTGCATATCCTGCTTTGACAGCAGCTGTGTCTGCTGGATGTATTAGAATTTTTGTATATTGAATGCATTTCATTCATTGGTACAGTAACTGTAAAGCAATAGAGTGTGTGTTTCAAAATCACAGTTCAACTAATTCCCTCCACATGTCTTATTAAATGATTCTTACGTTCTGTTAATTTCTGGAGTGTAGCAATGTTAATCTGAGGTGCCATAAGGTTTCTGGCTGTCTAAGCTTTACTCTTTCATATAACTTAAATAAAGGCTTTCCAATTTTCTCTTTAGACAGATTTGATTTTTTTTTTTTTTTTACTCAGTTAGATATATTTTCTCAACTGCGAGGCAGTGGTGAAAAAAACATGTATCTCTTAAAATTTTCCTGGGCTAGAAGTTTCTCTCCAGCATTAGCCCAAATAACACTTTTAGCATAATTAATTAAATCATATAAACTTGTATAAGTCTCACTACCAGTCTTAATATTTCATATGAAACACACACACACACACACTTCAGTTGTTGAGTGGATAAGCAGCCAGATTTAAATCTGAGAGACCAAAGTTCAGTTTTCAGTTCAGAGTTGTCTCACTTGGAGGCTAAGGGCAAATTGCTGACTGCCTCATTATGCAAACTGAAAAATAGTGACCAGCCTCGCTTAATCACTGTGAAGGAGGCACATGGATAGTAAAGTACTTTTCAGATTGTGCTATTAAATGAAATTTTAACCATTCCCATAAGATTTAAAAGTTGTTGCTATCAAAGTATTGTGTGAACTTTAGCTTTCATGCAATAGGCTAATATATTTTGCAAATTTAATATTTTGTAGGTTAACTTCTCAGTCTGGTGCTACCTTACCAAATGGGCGTAGCTTATGTAAGTACTTTATTTTGGTTGCTTTGCCAAAGGCTCTCTACCCATAAACATTTTAATTTTTTTGATAATTCTGTTTTTTACCTTTTGATATTTGGAATATTTTATCAGTGCAAACAACTGGTATTGATAGGATTGCTATATTTTTTGTTACGTTTTTCATACATTGTATTAAGACTGTTTAAAAATGCTTGTTAGTCTGAAGAAAGAAGAGTAAATTTTAATAATTGATTTTAGTGGTAACTTAACTTTGACTGACCCTACTTCTGGTTTTTAGTTGATTTTAGTTTAAATTGTTTTATTCTAATGCTTTTATGTAACATTTTAATTTGGATGTGTTATATTTTTACATTTTGATTATATTGTTAATATATTTTGAATATCTATGACTTAGTGCTATTGATTTTAGAAAGTGATGTTTTAATTATTGTAAGTAACACTGGGAACCTAGGTGTGGGCTATTGTAGTGGTATACACATTGAAATAATAAATACATAAATATAAAAGTGAGTGAGTAAAATCCAGTGAGGATTTTCTGCTGGCAGAACTGCTTTTGGCAGCAGAACTGGGAGGAATGGCAGTTCCTCCTTCCACTGCATGCCCCCAAAATCTGCTCTAGAGAGGGTTGAGAGAACCTCTGAAACAGATTTTTAGGAGGCTGTAGAAGACATTAGAGGGAGCTAGTTCCATTCTGCAAGTTGACTTTCTCTTTTTGCCGAGTAGTCAAGAGAGGGAGTGGTCCCTGTCCCATTAAAGGATGCAGTGATGAGACCAGTCCTAAAAAAAACAACAGGCTTGTATCCAGGGGTATTGGATAATTACCGGCTCATTGCCAGTCTCCCCTTTTTGGGCAAGGTGTTGGAGCAGGTGGTAGTTGGGCAGCTGCAGGTACTCTTGGAGGATATGGATGATCTGGATCCATTTCAATTGGGCTTTAGGCCTGGGTTTGGAATGGAGACGGCCTTGGTTGCCCTGCATGATGACCTGTGCAGGGAGAGGGACAGGGAGAGTGCAACCCTGTTGGTTCTCCTTGACCTCTCAGTGACCTTCAACACCATTGACCTTGGTGTTCTTCTGGACAGGTGGGTTGGAGGCACTGCTTTGCAGTGGTTCCACTCTTACCTGGCTGGCTGAGTCCAGAAGTGGGACTGTTACTCTGTGTCATGGCAGTTGTGTCATGGGGTGCTGCAGGACTCAGTGCTATCCCCCATGCTTTTTAACATCTATATGAAGCCGCTGGGAGAGATCATGCAGAGGTTTGGGCTGAGGACTCAGCAATATGCTGATGATACTCAGCTCTGCCTCTCTTTTACATCTCAGCCAGGTGAGGCTGTCGCCATCTTGAACTGGGGCTTGAACTCGATAATGGACTGGATGAGGGTCAGTAAACTGAGGCTCAGTCCCAACAAGATGGAGGTGCTGCTAGTAGGAGGGGGCATCTGACAGGTTGGAGGGGCATTGCCCTGTCCTTGATGGGGTTGCACTTCCCCTAGTCTGCAGGGTCTGCAGTCTGGGGGGTGCGCCTGGAGCTGGGTTTGTCCCTGGAATATTGGGTGAGCTCAGTGTCCAGGGGTGCTTTCCTCCAGCTGCCAAGGTTATACCAGCTTCATCGCTTGCTGGAAAGACAGAGCCTGAAAACAGTCACCCATGCACTGTTAACATCCAAAATAGATTACTGCAATCCGCTCTACATGGGGTTGCCCTTGAAGGAGGGTCTGGCAATTACAATTGGTACAGAATAGGACCGCTCAGTTGGTGATGGGAGCCCCTAGAGCAGCCCACATAACACCTATGCTGAAAGATCTTCATGGGTTACCAATTGTGGTCCAGGCCCAATTCAAGGTGCTTGTGTTGATATATAAAGCCCTAAACGGCTTAGGCCCTGATTATCTTAGGTAGCACCTGCACTCATATGTGCCTACCTGGCCTTTGAGATCTATGCAGGGGGCCCTCCTGTGTGAACCATCCTTCGAGGTAAGAGGGATGGCCAGTAGGAGGAGGGCCTTTTCTGCAACTGCTCCCCATATTTGGAATGCTCTCTCTAAGGAGATCTCTCTCCTTACTTTCTTTTCAGCACCAGGCAAAGACCGTCCTTTTTAAAAATATTTTTAATAACTAATGCCATAGACCTTTGTTTTGTTTTTCTTGTATTTTCTTGTTATTTTTAATGCGTTCTGGTTTTTATTGTGTTTTTACTGTATTTTATCTTATCATTGTGAGCTGCCGAGAGGTGCTATGGCACAATCGGGTGACATATGAATGTTTTAAATAAATAAAATAGAAAATAAAAATTAAGTGATTTTTGTGAGTGTTTTCTGTTACAAAGCAGAAGCAGGATTTTCATGATGACTTTTGATTTTTGAAAATCTAAAAAGAAGCTTAAGGTGTATTAGGACTAAACAAATAACGAAGTCATCGCAAAGAGAGTAGGAATTTAAGTAACTGTATTTATGTTTAGGCACATTACTGGCATGTTTTGATCTAATACAGCCTTCCCTAACAGGGTGCCCTCCCAGTGTTTTGGACTTCATAATGTATTTAAATCTGATGCATGTTAATGTTGTCCTTCTAAAGCACCAATGTTATAGAATACTTACTCAAATGTTGTTCTGCAGATTAAAATCATTTAAATCTTTCAGCTCTCAAAAGCTGTTCCCTTCGAGGGGAGAAAAAAGGAGATGGAGAGCATGCTTGCATAAATGGAGGCAGAGAAATCAGAAAAAGTTGTCGCTCCAGAAAAAACAGATTTGAAAGTTTAAATCAAAGTTTACTGTTTGATCAATTAGTAAACAGGTATGCTGGATTATTCCAATGATAGTAACTTTTGATTTAATGGTTTTGTTAAAAATGTTTTCAGATTGTAAGAAAGCATCCTTTAGCCAAAGATGTCTCCCTGCATTGGATATCCCATTTTTGAACTGCTAAACAGTGATGTTCTGGCTTTAACTGTGGCTCATAAAGCATTGTCATCCTTAGCAGATGTATATTCTAATATGGTACTCAGTAAGCATAGGAAAGGTCTATTTAATCTCCACACAGCTGTGCATATAACTTGGCCTCTTTCTGGAATATCTTAGTCTGACCTTGGCTAGCAGATTTCGAGGTTTTCCGCCTGCCTCTAACATCCTTTGGTCATTGCAGAGCTATTCTATTGGCTCACTGTGTATAGGTTTCATACTTGGACATCATTATACTTAAGTTTCTAAAATGGTTATTAATTTTACTGTAATTTGTTGAAAGTAGGTAGTTTTCATTCTATGTATAATTACAAAGATCTAATCATCTGGAGTTCTACATACACCTACAGAATCCCATGATCTAAAGTTTACAGATACAGCTGAAAGCTATGAAAGATCAGAGGGATGTTTGAGCACACCACCAACCAAAGGCCTTTTTTAGGGTTTCCTAATGTGCCTCTGCCTCTTCTAGGTCTTTGAAGAGAGATGGTTTATAGATCTCATAAGGCAGCATTCCCCAATCTGGTAACCACCAGGTGTCCCATAAGTCTGGGCCTGTGGTCAGGAATGCTGGAAATTGTAGTTCTGGATGACATCAGGTTTGGAAAGGCTGCTATGGGGGCCTGTATAAACAGCAGCCACTCTTTTTGCTAATCCACATACTTCTACAGAGTATCATTGAAGCCTTGGGTTATTTTAAACTGCTGAACCCGAGTCATTCCTAGATTTTCAGAGCATTCCTTTAAGATTTTTTGGCATGCTCCATGAATTAGTTGGCATTACCTGCTGATGCTCTTGATGGCTGTTTACAAACCAGGCAAGTGTTCTATCTTTTCCCATCTTCCTGTACTTTTGAGTCCACTTTGTGGAAAGTTGGTATTGGATTGTGCTGAGCAGTTTTCAGTGACAGTTACTTTGAGGCCTTACCCCTTTGGACCTCAGAATTATGCTCATTGTCTCCTAACTGTTAACGAATTGTCTCAAATGGCAAGCCTATGTTGGGAGCCACCCCGAGGCTTTGTTGCGATGGGGGTGGCATAAAAATGTTTTAAATAAATATGGTGTTCCATTTCATGTCTTCACCCTTGTCCTTGTTTTAGAATGAAATGGGTTTGTTTCAAGTAGGTATTTTGTGAACTGCCATGTGCTTTTTTGAATGAATGAAGCCTGAGTTGTGGCAGTTGACTTTAATGAGGCAGCTTTGTAGACTGTGAGGATAAATCTTTGACCTTTGCGCATCCTTGGCACGAGGCATAATGTTGACTTCACTCCTGGTGGGCAGTTTTCACTGATAGTACCCTCTTCCTTTGTACCCTCCAAAATCTGCTCTGGACGATTGACAATCCCTTGGACAGGTGGAATGTTTCAGTGAAAATTGCCTCTTCCCTGTACCTTTTGGTTGGATCTTCAGCTCTTTAGTATCAGAAGCTCCCTGTGGACAGGATAGCAGGTTGTTTATTGCAAACATGATAATACATTTCATATTAATATTTATATACTTTAGTACGGCTGAAGCTGTTCTGCAGGAAATGGACAATATTAACATTAGACGGAATAGGCGTTCAGGTGAAGTGGAAAGGCTACGCATGTGGACCGATACAGAATTTGTAAGTTTAAATCCCTTGCCTGCAAATTAAAAAGAAATAGCAATACCCCCATGTTTTGTTTAAGCTTCGGGTATGTTGCTTCTATGCTATACTTAAAACATGCAATAATATTGACTGTAGTTAATTGTTAATGTATGCTATCATATTTTGTTCATTTGTAAGTAATTGTGACAGTAGTGGAGTAGAGGGAGAGGGAATATCTGATACAGAAGGCTGCTGTAAAAATTGGTTTCAATTCATATCGGAAGAACAGCATTGCTAACAGCAGCAATATACCATTTGGTTAAAATGGAAATCGGTTCTAGCATAATAAGCTAGCCCATTTCTGTTGTCGCGAGACTGAGGTAGAACAGTCCAGCTGTGAATTTCTTCTGTATCAGTATGTTCTATAACTATATTGAGCCTAGACTCTTACGGAAGGAAGCACCTCTCAAGCAATATAAACCCAAATCTAAATGTCAGTCATGGGAAGTAGAATACTACTTTCCTTGTCATATCTGGTGCAATGCAGCAGGCTTGCACAACTATTTAAATACAGTGGCAAGAAGATGGGTAAGTGGAAGCTGATGAGGCAATAAGGCTTTTCCTTTTATGAGCTAGCTAGGTTGCAACAGCCCTGTGCTTTCCTGCAACCCTATTGGCTGTAGGGAAGTGGTGGCTCTGAGTGGTAGAATCCTTGAGCCTCTGGTTTACTTCTGTGGCTCTCAACTCTTGGGACAGCAGTACCTTGTGTAACATACCACCAATTGTTGGCAAGGTGAGAGAATTTGAACACTCCAATCAGTGTGCTTTGTTGCTGGTAGTTCCCCAGTGTGATTGTGCTCTATATGAACTCTTGTTCAAGAGTAGATGTGTCACTGTTGTAAAATCATATATTTTTGTATACTATAAATGTTTGCATATAGATAGGTATTGTAACTGTTATTTTAACTGGCCCATGTTTTGCTGTAGCTTGTGAGACAAGGAAGGGAAATTGAAACATTCTCTACTCTGATCACTGGGCAACAGTAAAGGTTGTTGTATTTATTTTGCCTGTGTTGTTAGCAGCACCCCCCCCCCCTTCTGATCATTCAGCTTTCAGTTACTGGTATTTGTGAATGACATTAATTTTGCTTTATACAGTGCAGTGAAATTACCTTTATTCTAGGAAAACATGGATATGTATTCACGTGTGAAGAGGAGGAGAAAATCATTGAGAAGAAATAGCTATGGAATCCAGAATCACCATGAAGTTTCCACAGAAGGGGAAGAAGAAGGTAAAAATGGCATGTCAGGAAGCTACTTTGATAGATGATGTTGAAATTGGTTGCGTAATTAAGTCTGTATATGGATACACAGTTACACAATCACAGAGCTGCGAATAACCTCAAGCTTGATTAGTTATATCCCATGGACCAAAATGTCCTCATAAATATTCAATTTACCAAACCTATCATTGTCTCTAATATGGATGCAATACATATTACCTATCTAATTTCAGGAAGACGCTTGCTTTGGGATGGATGAGGGCCAAAAAGTTCCATCTGGAAAAACTGAAAATACTGTGGTCTTGGAACTCTGTTAATCTGGAGCTAAATTTGTTTAGACCTGACTAGGAATGGGTTCACATTCCTCTTAAAGAGTCCATCGTGCAGTTTGGGAGTACACCTGGACTTTGTGTTATCTGCAGAGGTTTAGATAGTGTTAGTTGTTAGTACTGTTCCTTGCCCACTTAAGCCAATCTGGCCTTATTGAGAGAAAACTGAGTTAGGAAGCGTTCCTACCTCTCCTAGGCAGCATCTAAGAGGCCATAGCATTGTTCAGGGTTGTGCTTCGGAGGGCAGGGACAATCCTCTGAATTCAGAACAGGGAACTGAAATCACTGCCCTTTGCAGCTGTGCAGAAAGTACCAAGCTGGCTTTTCTCTGGGGTCAGAAACTCAGCCTTGGAGAAGAGGGGGGCTGGTTCAATGGATGCATAGGGGAAAAACCCAGAAAGGCCAAGAGGCAAACTGTTCTCCTTTCTTTCCCCTCTAAAACACCTTCACAGGCTGCACTGAAAAGACCATCTAGAGAAACATGCACGGCAGGAGCATGAGGAAGTGAAGGCCTTTCCTGCTGTTTCTCCTGTCCTTCATAGGACGATCATAGACCTCTTACCTTTGGGTGCTTATGATAATTGAGGGTGCAATTGATAGGACTTTGTCCATAGTGCTGCATGTCCTGCTTTTGTATGGATTATGTGACTGTACAGTCCCTTGTCTTGGGCTGCCGAGATAGTTCAGTAATATGAACTGTACAGTATGTAGAAATCGGCCACTTGTGGGAGCTAGGTGCCCAGATCATATTTTACCTATTTGGTATTAGTGATATTAGCTGCCTGTTTGTTTCTGCACCCAACTCAAGGTGCCAGTTTTGGCTTTTAAACCAATAACACATTTTTGCCATATTAACTGAAGGACCTGCATTTATATGAGCCGGTCCATGTATTAAGGTCAGTGTTGGAGTCCCTGCTCTCTATCCTCCTGAGGAAAGCCATTAAGCTGTTAGATACTAGGCACGGGGCTTTCTCAGTAGTGGCCATACAAGTGTGCCATGTTATTTATAAATACGTTCTAAACACATTACTGTTTTAAAGTATTTAGAATCTTGTAAACTGTCTCACAAATGTAGTACACTGAAAGGCAGGGTAAAATATTTTAAAGAAATTTAGGACAGTCATCCTGGAATATTGCAAAAAATTCTTTGATCTGATTATACATTTTACAAACCAAATTCCTTTGCAAATTATCAGAATGTTCCATAAGAATGTATATGTTTTTAATGTGCTGCCTCTTTCTAGAATCTCAAGAAGAAGATGGAGATATTGAAGCAGAGGAGGCAGAGGGAGAAGAAAATGATCGTCCATATAATTTGAGACAAAGAAAAACAGTGGAAAGATATCAAGCGCCTCCTATAGGTAAAGCAGAAAAGGATTAGCCTAATTTTGGTAATCTGCTAATACCATTTGATTTACACTGAGTAGCTCTGTTGAACAGTCTTGATACAGCAAGAGAAATTATGCCTTAACATTGGCCAAATGCTTTTCAAAATTCTGGATACACTCTTTTTTCAATATTGAAAAAAGTCCCTCTCTTTTCAATATTGTATGCTTATACAAGAAACTTTACAATGTCAACACAATGAACATATTTTCATTTTCTGCTGTGACTCTAAAGCTCCATGTGTAATTTGAAGCATGAATGTGTTTACTTAACAATCCAATTAATTTTGCCCTTGCTCCTTCCTGGTGGTATGGCAACCTTGGGGAACTGACATAACGTGGCTTCACAACATCTTATCCTGGTTAGAGTGTTGGATTAGTACTTGGGAAGACCCATGTCCTAATCCATTTCACACTCAATCATAAAGTTTGGTAGGTGGCCTTGGTCCACTCATTTTTCAGCCTACCCTACTTCACAAGCTTGTTAGGAGAAAGTGCAAGAAATAAAAACATGTATGCCACCCTGGGTTCCTTTGAAAATAGATGGGAAAATATAATGATCTTTTTCACCTTCCCTTTTACTCTCTACTTGAACATGCAGCATGAAGGGAGAGAACTTTAGTCTGTTCAAGACACCACTTGACTTGCTCTGTATTTTTCATTATGATCTGGTTAAGATGACACAACAGTCCAACATAGGTTATTTTACCCTTTGGGCTATGTATCCTATGCTATTCACCATTATAAATATGCAGTCTTTGGAGATTTGTCATTTGATCCAAACCCAGGTGGTAAGGATTGTTTGAGGGTTAAATAAAGCCTTCATAACCCATTGCCTGTTTTAGGATTATGTACAGGTCTTTTAGTTGACAAATAACCCCCACTGTCTGGGTTTGGTCAACATGACAAGTTATGGCAATCCCCCACACAGGGTCTGTACATGTACAATCAGGCATACATAAGTTTTGCAAAAGTCAGTGGGACTTGAGGAAACAGGTTTGGAGAGAAGAGAACATTGCTGTAGCGTATCTTCTTAGAACAAATCTGGTTGGTGAGTTGTGCCAGGATATCTAACATTAAAGATACAGTTGTTTGTGCATGTTAACAAAATTCAATGGTGCACAGCATTCTATTTTACAAATTGATTTGTTTTATCCAGTGCCAGCCCATCAGAAGAAAAGGGAAAATGCATTATTTGACATTCATAGATCTCCTGCAAGAAGAAGCCATATAAGGTAAATGATACTGTGCTGGTTCACATGACACAAGAATCCACCCTGTGAATAAACTGTCAGGGTCACTGTGGGTTGTTCTCAACCAACTTCCCCCTCAATCCTCCAGCCATATATCAAGGTGCCTAACTTGTCTCCCTGGCCTCCATCTGTTCACAACTCCTTTGAATCTGGCACCTTCTTTCCTTTTCCCCCCTTGGAGCTTCAAATAAGTGCCTTTGGGGTTGTAATGTTTAAAATTCTTTTGGACTCAGAAATGTGTGCAGATACCTTCATGGATTTTTAGTCTGCCCTTTGCAGCTGTGCAAGTTCTTTGTTAGGCTTTGTAATATATGTAGTCTTGTTTTGTTAATGCTCTTGTTGGTTTCAGCTGTCAAATGCTAACAGATTGAGGCAGACTGTATAAAATTTAAATTGCAAACAGTTGACAGCTGTCAGTTGCCTGTTAGTTGGAAAGCACCAGCAAAGGGGAAAAAAGACCGCCCCCCCCCCACACACACACCCCTTTCTGGGCTGGAGAGAGACTTGGGCACATGTGGAAAAGGCAGAGAATATTGAAGTGTTAGTAACAGAATCACCTTGATCTCTTACTTTAAACTAAGGGGAAGATCTTCCGTCCACTCCCTTTTGTTGCATATAGTCTACTGCTTTTTTCCATTTGTAGTCTAACCAATAGATGACAATTGTTCACAATTTGGCCTATATACAGTCTTGTCTCATCAGTATGTTGGCTTTTAACAGCTGAGAATAACAAGGCTATTGACCAGGCAAGTTCCTATATATTGGAATGTTATATGACTGCACTAGTGCAGCTGTGAAAAACCAACTCTCACAAAAAACCACTAAGATATTTGCATGCATTTCTGGGACTGCAGCTTTCTCTTTTAACGAAAGCGTGGCAAAACAGCAACTTTGGTACAAAAGTGCTGCTTGGGTGTTAGCGAACAGGTCTTTCACTGGCTGTCACCAGTATCTTCCTTTCTGGACTAGATAGAGACTTGGGGGAGTATTGAAATGGTGGAGAAAACAGGTGTCAGTTCAACACTTGAGAGGAATACACTGCTTAATGGAAGATACTGTTGTTTCCCTCTCCGACCCCCTCTCTTGCTGGACCACCTTCTTTTTCCCTTTCCCCAGGATTTTTCAACTGATGGTTCAGCAACTGGTTTCTGGCAACTATGCGCCAATTAACCTGGATGCACTTTTGCCTGGTCAGTTTCCATGTATATTGTTTACTCTGTTTCACCTTCCTTTGGGATTTGGAACAGAAAAGGAGATTGGCCAGGCGAGTCTACATACATTAGACAGCTGTAAGAGTACACTTGAAAAAGAACGATAAAAATAATTTTAAAAATGAACAAATTTTCACTTTTTTCTGACACTAAAAAAGCATGGTGAACCAGTGAAGACTGCTTCAAAGTGCCTCTTAGAATTTGTGGAAGGGCTGTCATGAGTGGAAGCAAATGTAAAATCATGAAAAGTGGTGAAGGTTTTTACAGCTCTTTCTGAGTGGCTCAGTAGCCAATCTATTCACCAGCCCAAGGTGAAATTGCTGTCCAAGGGTTAAGCAGCACAACAACCCATTCTAGATTGAACAACCAGTAACATAAGCCCTGGATTATCTGAGTGGCTTGTTCCCTGACAAGAAACCACCTTCTCCAAAACAACCTTCAATCTTTTATATTTTGCTGGACTTTTTCCCTACAACTCTGCATGCTGTTGTTTTCTCTCACATATGTAATTTTCAGATCGGTAATTAATATCTTTGAAAAAGAGCTCTGGTTCAGACGTAACAACCTCAGTCTAATAAATCATTCTTTATTAGACAAAAAACAAGCTCTGTACCCATGTGCTCCTTCCTCTCTGTCCCCTACTGGCCATATTGCCCCATAATGCTAGACTTCCAGGTTTGTTCAACCACACTTTCTGTTATATCCAAACTGAGACAGTGACTTAATATCTAAATAAAAGCCAGAATGCATTCATATCTTTGGTCTAAGCCAGATTAAACCACTGTTTCCTGTCTGTTTTGGAAAAGGGGGAAAGTATGAGAAGCTGATTCTTGCTTTGTCTTCCTATTCCAATAAGCCTTGGCTTATCATGACAGTCAAACAGGCTCAGTTTATCAAGACAGAGCATGCTGTTTATGGAACTAGAAACATTAAATGTCTGTATTGCCTGTATTGTCCGTACCGGATAGTTCATTACATTCTGTTTTCATTCCATAGGAGAAAGAAGCATGCCATTCATAGCAGTGATACCACCTCTTCAGATGAAGAACGCTTTGAAAGAAGAAAATCGAAGAGCATGGCAAGAGCAAGAAACCGGTGATTTTCTCTCATTTTTCAGATTTCTTCAGTATGTTTGGCCTGGTCAAGCTTGATGTGCAAAACTGCATTATTTTATCTAAAAATGTTAGGGTACAATCCTGGGTCTTATGCAGGTGAGTCATTTGATTTTTGAGCTGTGGGATTTAAGGGATTCTATAGATTTTGGTCTGGATCCAGAGTTGCTCCATGACATATGGAAGGGTACCAAGATCCAGTGGATGCTCTCTGCTGGAGGGAGTGATTCTTGTTGATTCCTCCTCCTCACTGCAAACCCCATGATTCAGCGGGTCAAATCCTCTCAAACAGCATTTTAGGGGGAAATGAAAGAAGGAATTGACAAAAATGTCTGCCATACCTACTTTCTCTAGTGTAATTCTGTTGAGTGCAATTCAGTCCTATTCTATAGAGTGACTGATTGCATAGCTTGATAGTTGAGTGCATGTGACTACCATTTTGAATATATGTCCCTGCGCAGGGGTTCTTGTGTTGTACAAACCTGGTGAGTATGAGTTTGCATGAGATGGCAGCCTTTGGATATGGGTTGTAAATGCACTTTGGCACTTCGTGCACAACAGCATGTTGTCCAAGCCTGGGGAATGTCTGGTGGTGTTCAAATTAGCATTTCTTGCAGTGCTTTTGTCTTTGCAGTTTTAACAAGACCTGTTGCTGACCTTCCATTTATTTTATTCCCTGCAGTGATCAAAGTTCTCACAAATTGAAACATGAACAAACAAATATTTCTCCCATATGTATTTATGTGAGTTCATCAGATTGCAACATCACTTAGCATGAAACTGAACATCATCTGTTTTCTTTTTGTGTGAAACAGATGTCTGCCTATGAACTTTAGAGCAGAAGACTTGGCCAGTGGAATCCTGCGTGAACGAGTGAAAGTTGGTGCAAGTTTGGCTGATGTAGATCCAATGATTCTTGATAAATCGGTGTGCTCCATCTCTTTCTTTATATATCTCTTTATGTTAAAAGAAAGTAATCTTCTCTGATTTGAAGCTTTATAAAACAAAAGTTTAAATGCACAGTGCATGTGAATCAACTAATTAAATGTACTTGCTTTTCATACATCATTTTACTGTATTCAAAATATCTGCTTTGTTAGGAGCTTTGAGGTGTGTTCAGTGCTCTTTCAGATAAAGTAGGTATATTATAAATTGAAGTATAATTCCAAATGTTAAGAAGAATGGCTTACTTTTAATAAACCCAAGTTTTGCATATGTATGTTGAGTATACATGAAACCAATATTGAAAAGTTATTTTTATCTCTTTCTTAGGTGCGCTTTGATAGCATAGGTGGATTGAGCAATCATATTCATGCACTTAAGGAAATGGTTATATTTCCACTTCTTTATCCTGAAATATTTGAAAAATTCAAAATTCAACCACCAAGGTAAGTAGATGCTTTCATCCTGTACATCTGACTCAATATAGGGCTGTATCACATTGTGTCCATGAGCAGAATGGACCCCTAGTATACTAGATTTCCCTTTCATGCTATATACCACTCATTCTGCCCTGGAGGAGTTTGGGACTCTCAGGAGCAGAGCATGGTGCAGATGGGAAAAACAGGGAAATTCCTATTTTGTGAATGGAAGTCTGCTTTGTCAGAACTCATAGCTGTGATAACTTGCAAGCAGAGAAAGTATTTGGCAGTTGGTTGCTCTGTAATGTTGTACAACATTATATATACTATTGGATACCTTCTTTTTGGCAATTTAAAGAACTAAGCAACTAAAAATTCAAAGAACTACACAACTTTATTCACTCATTAGGGCCCTGTGTGTGTGTGTCCATTTCAAAAGTGATTTGAAGAACATGGGACTTGTTTAAAGAACAAAAGTTAAACAAGATATGCCCAGTATGCTGAAGGCATCTTACTGAATTGTTGTCAGACCCGTGTAGCTTGCAACTGTCTGCAGAACTGTAATCTGCTTTATTTGTATGTGTACATCAGTCAGTTTGTTAAAGGTAAGATAAATGAGCTTTAGATGCAATTTAAAAATATTTTAGATTGTGTTTGACTTGTGGAGAAAACTACTGAATTTTTAAAGATTGATGGGAGGATGGCCAGGAAGATGAGAATGGAACCTTTAAATGAACTACACAAAGTTCATAAAAATAAACTAAATGTTTTGTGACATGACAAATTTGTATAGTAGGAGATAGCTGAGGCACAGAACTTTTCTAACAGCATTAAATTTTATTGATAGACTCATTTTTTCACTGTCCCTTTCCCCATTTTAGCACAGCTGATGTTAAATCAATTTGCATAAGAGTGGAAGTACTTGAGAGCATCATACTGAAATTGTAGTTAAACTGGTATTATAATTTACTTCTTTGCAAATAATATTCAGAAAACCATTTCCGATTATCACAGATTAAAATATTACACTCACTGTAACATTGTACAATCATCCAAATCATTGTAGAAAAATATATTCCATACAATAGAACATAAAACAAATAGAAGTCTTTCAGTTCTATTTAATATGTTCATTTCATGGTCATGTGCACATTTTCCTTTTTACATTTAAAATTAGAGAAAGAGAATGAGCCAGACAACCAAAAGCAGAACCATGTGTTCTGGGTTCGGTATTTTTCAGTGCTTGAATGTTCACACATCCAAAATTCTGATACTTTGATACATCCAAAATGTTCTGAGTACAGTGGGTTCTCCCCATGTTTCCTTTTTTTCAGTGTGCTTGCCACTTAGTGCAGTTTTACCATCGAATGGTTTTTCTTGTGTTTTTATACACTCTCCCTCTCTCCTTCATCTCTTTTAAGGAGCTTCTTCCAGGCCTCAGACATGGGCTAGAAACTAAGAGGATGTCCCTCCTCTTGATGTCATTTCTTGCTGGAGTCTCTGACAGCTAGGAGGAGACACTGCAATTATTCTCTTTGCTCCAAATCATTTTAAGAAAATATAATCCCCCGATTTTGAACTCAAAACAAATACATGTCTTTCCATTCCTGATCATATCTCAGTTGTTTGGTCAATTGGTTGTTGCATATTACATCTCTAAATTATTTTATTTTTTGTTTCCATTTGTTTTTAGTTTGTGGTAGCAAGCACTTACTTGGGCATCCAGGCAAATGTTGGGCATTTTATTGAACTTCTTACCATGTGGGTGATAAGTATTGCCTTGATCAAACAAGAAAGAAAGAAATAGTGATTCCTTTGTTCATTTGTCTTCAGGGGCTGTTTGTTTTATGGTCCTCCTGGAACAGGTAAAACCTTGGTAGCTAGAGCTCTGGCCAACGAATGCACCCAAGGGGAGAGAAAAGTTGCTTTTTTTATGAGGAAAGGAGCAGACTGTCTCAGCAAGTGGGTTGGTGAATCTGAACGACAACTTCGACTGCTCTTCGATCAAGTTAGTATGCAGTATTGAACATTTGCTATATTCTTTCTAAGAGTGTGGAAGTGCTTCTTGTGACACTTTCAGTGATGGCAGAAGCACATCTTTGTATTTTGAGAAATGCGGGTGCAGGTGTTCAACCATTTAGCGTGAGAAGGCAGTGAAATCCAGGAAGAATTGCCTTTGGTCCAAACTATTTTCATTTGTAGTCATATTCACTTCACTGTGGCCGTGTGATGATGTATTCTTTGACTGGAATCACTCCAAGAAAGAGAAGAAGCCAAATGGTGTTTAAATGGCAGTAGAATAGAAATAATTGCCACAAAAAACTGCAAACATGCATTTCATGAAATATTTGAGTAAGGTTTTCCCTTCCAAACATTACTTGCCCTCAGAACATTAAAATGGGCTTCATTTGTGACATTCCTAATTTCTTTATATCAGTGTTTAATCATACATGAAAAGACCTGAAGATAGCTTTTGAGTTGAATATTATCTGAAGATGTTGAGGAAGAAATGTGAGAGATTTTATTTTTGCACATGTTCAAGGTACTGGTGGAAATGGACATGATAATTTGGATCCTAATGTTCCACTCTGTGAATAGAAGGAGCTTCTATTGACAGAAGGGGTCCATCCTTAAAGTGGTACATAATGTCAGGCCATTAAGTGACTGTGCACCAAAATGTTTCAGCAAAAGATGAGTTCATTTTTATAATACAAACATCAAGAACATTTAGTGAGATGAGAAGGATAATAGTCTAAAGGTCAATTTTGCATTGCTCATCTGATATGTTCTGTGTAAATGAGAAATGTGAGTTTGTCCTTTTTTCTTATGATGCATCTATAAATATTTTTCTGATGAATGGATGGGTTTTGCTTGGAAAGAAATAGGAATAGATAATTAGAAAAAAATAGAAATTGCTGCAGCTTTTAAAAAATCATTGGGGAAGAGTGGCCTTACTTGGACTGTTCACACCTTTCTGTTAGACTTTGGAAGACTTGCAGTTTTCCTTTGCCTGCTCCCACACTGTCTGGACCATTTCATATGGAATATTGGCCAACAAGGCAGATGAACTATTGCAAGTGAAACTAATCCCCCAAGGTTCCAGTGAAATATAATTCACCTGTTTCTGGATGCAAAATCTGTAATGTTCTTGCTGTTATCTAGGAAAGTGCATTTGTCTGTAAGACTCATTCCTCAGGAACAGCTTTGTTTGGTAACCTGGTGATTTATGGCTAGAGTACATTTATTCAGAAGCCCAGCAGTTCTCCAGCTTGCAGACGCCAGATGTTTTAGACTACAGTTCCCAACATACTCATTAATTGGCCAGGATGGTTAGGGTTGATGGCAGTTATAGTTTAAAACATCTGGACAGCATCATGTTAGGGAATTCTGTTCAGTACAATAATTGGAAAATGCAAATTGACCAAGTCCTCTGGGAGTAAAAAGCGGTTCTTTTTGTGATTCTAACTAATACTGGTTTTGCTCACCAGGCTTACCTGATGAGGCCATCTATCATCTTCTTTGATGAAATAGATGGCTTGGCCCCCGTCCGTTCTAGCAGACAAGACCAGATTCACAGGTAATGCTAGTGTATTACTTTTGAATATGCAGGTAGAAACCACTGTTGAAAGTGAAGATCTATAAGCACAATTGTGGATCCAGCCCATTGTCCCACTAAGATGATGTTAATTTCATATGGGCTGTTGGATGCTTCTTTCATAAATAAACCTTGGCAAACTTTTACCAAATAATACCATCACTAAAACACAGAAGAAGGTTTGATATATTATCTTCTCACTCCTCCCATCTTCTCTCCTGCTAACCTCCACAGGATGAACTTAATTTTTAATACTCAGTGATATGTATTTTCTGGAAAAAATACAATTTCCAGAATATTTTCCCTGCAAATTAAGTTCCTTACCATGGAGCCATTTGCACAGGATTTTTTTAGTTTGTATCAGAAAGTGCTTTTATGTCCTTTACAGAGGTTGTGGCCCTCTAGAGGTTTTGGCCTACAACTCACATCAACCTTCATCATTGTCTATGCTGGCTAGACATTAATTGCGACTTTGTAACTGCCAAAGTTGCTGTCAATTCGCATCTGACTTATGGCAGCCCTCCAAGATGTCCTGCTCTTGACAGCCCGGCTCAACTCTTACACAGTTAAGGGTGTAGCTTCTTTTATGGAATTGAGTAATCTCATAGTTGGTCTTCCTCCTTTTCTTCTTCTTTTGACTTTTCCTAGCATTACTGCCTTCTCCAGGGACTCTCACCTTCTCATGATGTACCTAAGTATGACAGCTTCAGTTTTGTCTTTTTTGCTTTCAGGGAAAGTTCTGGTTGGATTTGATCCAGGATCCACTTGTTTGCCTTTCTGTCAGTCCAGGATATTCAAAACTCCTCCAGCACCATATTTCCAAAACATACATTTTTTCTAATACAAAAATTCAGAATAGCCACTCCTTTGAACTGAATTTGAAATGCAATAGCCACAAATAAGGCAATCTAAAGGGATAGTTCATTTCAAGAGCTTACATGGTTTAAGTGCAGACTTATCAACTTCCACTCTTGATTATCAGTATAGCTAAATATTTCAGTATATTTGGAAATATCTTTGAATTAACTATTTATTATGTTAAGTGTTCTGCCTGAGTAAAATGAGCTGTTGTGGTTTAGTTCTATAGTATCAACTCTTCTTGCTCTCATGGATGGTTTGGACAACAGAGGGGAGATAGTTGTCATTGGTGCTACAAACAGACTTGATTCTATCGATCCAGCACTCAGGAGACCAGGTCGTTTTGACAGGGAATTTCTTTTTAGTTTGCCTGATCAAAGGGTAAGACTATTAAAATTATATTCTAATGATTTCTGAAGTTATACTGAAAAAGCAATTGTTCTGGGATTAAAACAAGCAATGTAATAATACTTATAATAATACAACTTTTAGCACAATTGATTTGAAAAGCTGAGATGTCTAACAAGAATGCATAGGTGCATTTATTAAGAACTGCAGGCTGGCCTTACCAGGCAGCCAGGTAAGCTAAGCTCAGGCAGCAGATACTGCAGAGTAGGAAGCAGTGTTGTGATGTTGCAGTGCAGAACTGAGAAGGGGCTTGGGCCTACTCTCTGCCTCTTAACCTAAGCTTCAGTTGTGGTGCAGGACACGGTTCCATTGCCAGAAGTGGAGTGTGATTCAACTGCTGGTTCCATGTGAAATTGGAACTCGGGTGACAACTTTACCATTGTGTCATGTGGCAAAATGATGTGGTCTGGCTCTGCAACCTTTCTGAGAGTTTTTAGATAAAAACCTTTATTTTTATCTAAAAATGCTTTTTTAGCAACAGCTTCCCCACACTCCAGTTTTCCCACTCCCCAGTACTATTTCAGACACTTCTTCAGGAGGTATATATTGTTTATTCTGCTTTCATAGCTCAGATATGCACATATTTTGAAATTAATTGTGCCAACCAGGCCTTTGATACCTTATATTTTCAGAAAACTATCTGTAGGTAAACCATATTAAATACAAATGTAAGGTTTCCTCTCCTTTACCATTCTCACTAGAAATGGCAGCTTTTGTCTGAGACTAAATATAATTCACGTCATCCTATTAGGAAAATGAAAAGGCTTGGAACTCTGTAGACAGAATCATGTTAAAAACTCATTAACTATAAACAGATTGCTCCAAATTGAAATGTGTGAGTTGCGACTTGTATTTCCTCATTTTGTCAGACTTGCATCTGATTACATCTCCTTGCATTAACATAGCTTTATTGAAACCCCTCTTTGAATTACTATAATAATACTCTGTTAGGCTGGCATAATGCCATTTTTGTGGTATTTATCTGCAATAGTAAATTGCTTGTTAAATATTAAATGGGGATGTACATAATTACTTTAGATTAAATTGGAGAGTATAAAATAATTGACAATCGCTATGTAATACTTCATATACCATACTTCAGCTGTTTTAGAGCACAAATGTGTTACAATGTTATGATGATATTCCTAAAGTGTTGTAATATTCCTCCATTAGGAGAACTTGTAAGTTAGCTGGTTGTGGGCAGTATCCAACTTGGCAAGAGTTGATAATATCCAGACAAGACGGAGGTCCTGTTGGTTGGCGGATCGGGCTTCGGAGAGGGTGAATTGAACCTAGTCCTGAATGGGGTTGCACTCCCTCTTAGGGACAAGGTCCGCAGCCTGGGAGTGCTCCTCGACCCAGAGCTTTCATTGGAAGCTCAGGTGACAGCAGTGGCGAGGAGCGCTTTCCTTCAGCTTCGGCTGATTCATCAGCTGCGCCCCTACCTGGAGTACGACTGCCTGGCGACAGTGACACACGCGCTGGTGACTTCCCGCCTTGACTTCTGTAACATGCTCTACGTGGGGCTACCCTTGAAGATGGTCCGGATACTTCAGTTGGTTCAAAATAGAGCTGCCAGGCTGCTGACGGGGACTGGGCGCTATGTTCACATGACTCCAGTCCTCCGTCAGCTTCACTGGCTTCCCATTGAAGTCCGGGCCCAATTCAAGGTGTTGGTGATGACCTATAAAGCCCTAAACGGCTTGGGTCCTGGTTACCTGAAGGAGCGCTTTCATCCATATACGCCCATCCGCCCGCCCCTTGAGATCTGCGGGAGAGGCCCTTCTCTGGGAAACCTCCGTGAAAGAAATTAGGAGTGTAGGTACTTGGAGGAGGGCTTTCTCTGCGGTGGCGCCCAATCTATGGAATGCGCTCCCCAGAGAGGTCCGCCTGGCGCCGTCGTTATTTGTTTTTCGGCACCATGCGAAGACCTTTTTATTTAAGCGTCATTTTAATTGTTAATATTATTTGCTTATTTTATCTGGCCAGGGCAACTTATTTTATATTGTTATTTCTTGTATTTTAATTTTATGTTGTGAGCCGCCCCGAGGCTTCGGCGAATGGGGCGGCATAGAAATGTTTTAATAAATAAATAAATAAATAATATGCAAAAGTAAGGGACGACTAGCTTAAAGCCCATAGCATTCACTGGTGAAATGAATTTTCAGGGGAATACCATTGTGCTTGCCAGTGCTATTGCCAGGGTACTAGATGTTCCTTCTAGCTCAATGTAAACTACATTAGTGCTTGAAATGACTAGAATAGTGACTAATAAGTTTAGTAGTATTGAGTAAAGCTGGCCAAGGAACAATTTGTATGAGTGATGTGTTTGATGTATGTTATTGTGATGTACTAAATTTCTCATTTCTTTACAAGGCAAGAAAGCACATTTTACAGATTCATACAAGGGACTGGAACCCCAAATTATCAGATAATTTTTTAGGAGAATTAGCTGAAAAATGTGTCGGTGAGTGGTATCACTTTCAGATGTTTTTGTTCTTGAAAGGTTCTCTGTTTAGTTTGGAAGAGTATTTAATGCTTGCTTATTAAATTTTATAGTTGGGTTCAGTTGCTTGATTACACATGAAAGTTTCTTGTAAGTTGATACATACTGGAACAATGTAATATATATAATGCAAAGTTATTTTCATGCCATTTTCGTTTATGTTTTCTATGACCACTGTGAATCTTTAATAAGACAATTAAGTGTTAAAAAGCTTGTAGGATTAAACAGTGAAAGCTACTCTAAACCGTATGGGTTACAGTTCTTCTAGAAGAAAAACACAGTCAGCCTTTTTATAAGTAAAATAGGGATAATTTGTTTTTCTATACATGTGCATCCTAATAAATTCAATCTTTTTCTTTTTCTTTTTCTTTTCTTTTTTTCTATTTCTTTTTTTAACCAAAATCAGTTTGCACTGAGAAGACACTGGGCTTATAATCATCCAAACTCTCAGATATGGTCTAGATTATGCTAGTGACTGGCACAGGTTAGGCTTTTCTGTCTCTAAAGTTAGTCACTGTGATTATCTGAAACATATTATGAAGCACCAGACATGAAATACTGAACAGTAGATTGGCTTTTCAAAATAAAAATAATTCTTATTATACTGGCAAGAACTGTAGTTACTTATTAAAAATAGGTCAGAAAAGCTTGATATGTGAAATATTTTAACATAATAAATAAACTCTTAAGTAATAACCATAACCACTTCAAAACAATTTTCATCTTCTGTCAATCTCATGCTAGTCAACACATTTTAGGAAAGCAATAGCACCAAATCATTTGGTCTGCATCACAGCCGTAAAATTTAAAATTGAACACAGTCCGTTCAGTCAGCTTCTGTACATCCGAATTATCCTCTTCATCCACAGGGACATCTATCTTCGGTGCAGAATTCCTCCACTTTTGATCTGCAAAGACCCCAACATCTTCTGGTGAGAAGAAAACAAATATCCAACAAATGACAAATTAAGCTTTGTTTGGTGTAAGATAGCATGTGCCAAACCCCATTTCATGTAGATTCTTCTAGAGATTCTGCAAAAGTCATTTAGTGGAAGATAGATGATAAAAAATAAAACTTTGGTCCCCTCTTGACCATGTCTCAGATTAAAAATTATATTTTAAGATGGCAAGGACGTCTCTTTTTCATCCAGTTAGAAAAAACTGCCCTGTAGTGTGGTGTAACCAGTTGATTTTGGAAACAAATCTGGTACAAATCTGGGGGAAGATCCAGAGCCATTGCTCTGACCTTCCTGCCAAGTATGGATAGATGTTTCTAAATCTTGTAGGCACAGTGCAGGTTTTGGACATGAGTCCTAGAACTGCAGTGGAAAGTCAATAAAATCGGACAAATCTAAATTCCATCATTTACAAATTATTGTTTCATATTTGGAAGAGCTTGGAATATGTAACCTTTAGTTGGCATTTTGAAAATTCATTGGGGCCATTTTATGCTGCCAAGCATCAGGAGGACTACAATGCAAACCTATTTCTTTAGCCCTCTATTTGATGCCACTGCTAAACATTTTCCTTTGTTTACCCCTTCTGGGGATATTTTAATGATAAAACCCTGTTTGCCTTTTATATGGGCTTTTACTAATAATTGGACCATGAAGAAGAAATTTACTGAATTTTGCTGAAAAAATGTTGCCTAGCTTTAATTCATCAAGAGCAATCACTGTTTGATGCTCAGATGTCTTAATTCTTTGATTTGTTTCAAAAATTTGAACGCAGGTCTTAAAGTCAGTGTGTGGTTCCTTACCAGTAAATTACTTTGGCTGCAAAGTTTTTTAAATTGCACATTAGAATGTGTGGGATTTTACAAAAATAATAACAATCTTAATTATACCCTTAAACCAACACTTAACACAAAATACAAAAATAACATGAGGATCATTTTGTTGCAAACCTATGCCACTGTCTGAACAAGCCTTGTGGAGTAGATGGTTCATGCAACTGAGTAAAGCCAGTTTCAATAAAAGACTAAATGTTTTTAATTTGACATGTTTAATAAAAGATTCCTGGACTTCTAGCCAGTTTGACATGGGGAATTCTTTTCCCCTGGATGTAGATGTATATTGGTTCACAATTGACATTTAGAGTAAACTTTTAATAGATCTGTTTATGTGTATTACACTCTTGAAAACAGAGAATTTATTCATCCAGCTATTCTGGAGGCACTTTTCAGTGTTGTACAGTTCTCATAGAAGCTTCCTAATTTCTCTCAATGAATTTAATGGCTAATCTATCAACATTCATTTTTGAATCTATGAATGTCGTCTGCCAAAACAAATTTCTAATAGGTTATGGTGTCCTTTAGATGTATTTGTTGTGTGCAGATATTTCCTATATTTTTTCCTGGCCAATCAGGGAGGAACCCTTAGTTCTGCTTTTAAAATGGGATATATGTTCTAACTACTTCTCTTTGGAATTCATCTTTCTTAAATTTGGTAGCAAACTCAGACACGCTTGTGGCTTTTATAGCTCCATTTTTTGTGGTCGTGTGATACAAACTTAAGTTTCCAGATTTTTTCAGCTCTGTCAGTTCCATCTAATTAACAAAGTTAATCTTTTAAATACTTAGTTTTGCTTCAGTTAATCCAGTTTCTGAGAACGTTTGGGCCATCTTATATAACTTCCTCATACTTTTCTATATTAATTGTGCATCCCACTGTAATCTAAAACTTAAGTTCTTTGTTCCAACTTGATTTCATACTACTCTTTTCCTCCTGTAGATCATGCATGAAAATATTAAATAGAATAGTGTATTGATGGCTGCAGAATTCCAATTCTGAATTTTACTTATTTAAAGATTTATAACTTTCCTCATGGCACCTACTTCTCACCTTGTAGCTTTTACTTCACTTTTGTTTAACTCATTCTTTAGTATTACATAAATATACTGCTTATAGTCATAATGATCTTTCCTAGTTTAAATAGAGAGTTAAATGAGTTAAATGGTAGCATATAATCAGATACTTTACTGAAACTCAAATTTATGTCTTGCACGTCACTTTCCTATCAAGCTCTTTTCTTAGAAAAAGATGGCAGATTACATTGATACAGGCTTCCATTGAATCCCTGCTGTCTCATATTGCCATCTCCTCTATCCTTCTATATATTTTAAATGAATCTATTATGTTTATTACTTACATTTCTATACCAACCAATAGTTAAAATTCTGCACTTAGTATGCCACTAAAGGTATCCTTATGCTTTTATTCCTCTTGTAAAACTTTGCTGACATCCTTTGTTCCTAAAACTTGATGGATTTTTATAGTTTGAACTTTGATTTAAGTGCAGCAAGATGCTTTAAGATTTCAATATGGTTTCACTTCAGGCCACTTTTTCAGAACTATAGAGTGCTGTGTCACTATTAAACACCAAAACAAAGTAAGATTTATCCTCCAAAACATGACTTAGATTATAGGAATCATGCCGCCTGCCTCTTCATCTTCCATTCTGGCATGCCTACTTCCCCTTTCCCAAATCCTACTTGGCTTTGAAATCTGAAGTGGGCTATGTGTATAGCATTAATCACAATGGCTTCTAAACAATTTCAAAACATACTATCAAATCATGGATTCATATTAGTGCTAATTACATTTACATGGCTGGATGTCCTGAAAAGCTTAAGATAGTGGAAAATATAAAATACTGGTGGAAATTGGTCTGGTGGGGCAAGTATAGATACTCAGAGCATATTCCCCAGCCATGGTTTGGCGGACTGGAACACTAAATTTGAACCCGGTCCATTAGTTTTTGATCATAATACAATGATTTTTAATCTCAGTGTTGGTAACAGTAAAGTTTTTGTACTGTGTACAGGCAGTCCCTGAATTATGCATGTCTGAATTACAAACAGCCCATTCTCACAAACAAACTGCCATAAAGCCTATTAAGTTTTTAAATTATTGTGGAAAATTGTCATTACCATAGAGAGAGGGAGGAAGCAAAAGAGGAGAGAACAAGGGTCTCCAAAGTATCATCAGAGGGAGGGAGGGAGGGAGGAAGTGAAAGGATAGAGAGGGAGACCTCTAAAGTATGCCTTCCTGCCCCACCAATTCAGAGAGAGGTCAAGAGAGAGAGATCTGGCATTTCCTTGCTACAAAGAAGAGAGACTGGTGAATTTGGGTGATGGGGAGGCTTAGAGTCATTTGTGGTTTTTCCACTTTCATGTGGGTCCTGCACCTCTAACCCCTGCGAATGTGGAGGGCTGACTATATGTAATCTGACTTAAATATAAATTTGACTTAAAGACAAATTTCCATTTTTGCAGGAACGGAACTTATCCATAAACCAGGGAATGCCTGTATTCTGTCTTTATGCTCTGTACAGAACTGTAGCTCATCTTAACATTTAGCTGTCTTCACATTTCTTTTTATGTTACATACCTTTCTGTGAGTGTGCTTCCTTTTTATTGTGCCTCTACCTTTTCCAAACTTGTGCAAATTCCCTACATTGCATAGTAAGCATGTTGTCAGTTTAGAAAGTTTTCTACCTTTGAGTACCATTTAGGGAGGCTACAAGGGAGCAATTTTACTTCTGCTCCATGTTCAGGCTACATGTGATGATTCTCCTGGAACTCCTGTTGTTCCGGCTTTTAAGAGATACAGAAAATCTCTCACTCAGTTGCAGTTCTGGTTTTATTGGTCCCTTCTAGTTTAATAAAGGTAAATGCAATCTGAGCTTATTCTCAATAGATCTTGTCAAGTCAAGTGTACTCCACAACACCAGAACAAACAGTTTCTAATCTTGTAGTCTAAATGACAATTTAGCAAGAAATGTATTGAGCTTTTTTGTCATTGGCACATCTAGTGTCATATAGCATACAACATTAATATTATAGGGAATTTTCAAACAATGCCCAACTTGCTTAACAATCTGGTAATTTTTTGTCATAACCATACAGCTTTAGGCTAAGTTCTCTAACTAAGTTTTATTTTTTTTTCAAATATATGAGACTGTTCCTGCTTTTTGCTGAAACTATCTAAGCTTCTTATTAATTGGATTAGTTCCCCCACTAGCAGGGGTAAAATCTTGCATTCTATTTAACTGAATTGAATCTTTCTTTATGGCTAATTTTAATTTGTTTAAAGTAAATTGTATGGGCAACACATTTTCATATTCTGGGTTCTAATATTTTTTAGGACGATATGGCTGCTAATGTCTACAATAGGGTACATTCTTTTTCAAGATATGCCTTACCCTTAGAAATAATAATTAAAAGTGACTCATTGCATTTTGCTTAGTAAACTAGACATATCTATCAATGTTTTAATATGGAAAGAGTAAAATTATAGCTCCAAATGTAGCTCAAAGTAGATTCACTTCAATAAAGTTCTTCATTGTTTTACTTCTATACTGTCACATAGCCAGAGTTCTCTGGGCAGGTCACAAGAATAATAAACATAGTAAAACAATATAAAATGTCACAATAATTCCAACAATTAAAACAGTTATGGTGCACTATTGAGACCTGACAAAACTGTCATTAAAAGCCCCACTATATGCCATTGAATATCTATCTATTCCTCTGGGAATAGAGGAGAGTCTTTTCTTGGTGCTGGAAAGATGGCTACATTGGTGCCAGGCAGACCACAGTTGGAGAGATCACTATTTGTTCAGTAGTGAAATTACAATAGTCTCCCAGCTGGGAATAGTCCAGATGAGGGGGCAAAAGCAGAGATCCTTGAGGACACTAAAAGTGCTGATGTTCCTGAGTATGGAGCAATGAAGGATGTTTTCATGATGCTGTCTGAAAAACCATCTCAAAAACAGTCTAGGCAGAATTGTTCTGTTGCACCTTCTAATTGACTCTGTGCCAGTGGCCTAGCATAGTAAAGCATATTGATCCAGAGAATACTGCTGATTGGTGTGTCTGTTGTGTATGAGAGAGGTAATTAAGAGTATGTAACGCTGGATGGCAGCAGCCACTATTTTTGTTTTTTGTTTTTTTGCCCAGAACCTTGTGAGCAGGAGCTGTCTGTGTAATTTTCAGCAATGAGGCCTTTATATAAGTGTCAGGGGAGGGTCAGAGATCATACCCTAGGCATTGAAATTTCTGGCTATAGTGTATTTTTTAGGGTTGTCATTTTAAAAAGTTGTATGTTTCATTAAAGTTTTACCACTCTTATCAATAAAACAAATTTCTCATTTCTGTTGAAAAGCTTGTAAGTTTGACAGCTAACCTAAATTTCATTAAGCTTAGGGAGTCCCTATAAAAGAAATGAAAAACATCAACATTCAATTTCTTAAAAAGTGAGAGGTGAGACTTTGTGACTAATTTTACATCTAATTTCCTGAGAAAGTCTGAAAATGAGCCATAAGCTATTATGCCTATTCTTAAAATTCCATGGAGACCTGGAAGCTGTGATTAATAAGGTGCAGAAGTTAGGTACAGTTATGTGAAAACTGATAAAGGACATGGAACTTGGTGTAGTGGTTACTTCTGAACCAAGATAGTTGCAACAATTTTTATTGATGTGCTTTTGATTAGTTTCCTGAGACGACGCAGTCATGGAATCAATAGCTGAAGTTATGTTCCAAGTCAAAATGGAGCCTGGTCTGGTGTTATCACAAGTTGATGTTGGGATCCTAACTATCAGACCTTTTCCTCCTGTGTGCTAAGAAATATGCTCTCCAAAAACAAAAAACATACTACACAGAATGCACATACTCCTTCACTGAGTGAATGTATTTAACTGATCTAATAAACGAGGTTGTATAGTTTTTAATAAAAACATACTTCTCACAAAGCAAAATTAATGTCACTCATTGATTTGTAATATTTATAATTTAAATTTTGTAATGGTAATTATTTTTGAAACTATTACATTTAAACTTAGAATCTGTGTTGTGCTCTCTTAATTCCCATCAAAGATGTTAGGCTTGGCATGAAAATACCTTATTGAGTCTGTTATGCTGAGTCCTTGAGCAAACATTGGATTGTTTTAAACCAAACATTTGTGCCAGTATTTGTATATAACTCTCCCTGTTGTTTAATCCAGACAAATTGTGGTTAATCTCAACAAGCCAGTTTCAGACAATAGCATATAAAGCTGACTTGTTTGAACAAATTATAGTTAAGATTATCTACAGTGTAGGGTTAGGGTTTTAGTTAAACAAAAATGGAAGTGAAAGCTTATGATCTTACACCTGTTCTAGGGCAAGAGAAAGCTCAAAGCTTACTGCAGCATGTCCTTTTAATACTGAAACATGATTTAGCATTATGTGCAAATGTTAAGTGTGTTCCACCAGGGACTCAAAAAGTATTTTGCTGCTCGCCCAGAGGGCTTTCAAGCATCAGGAGGACTACGGTACATGGGTGCTGGGGTATGCTTGGTTCGGTATGGCACAGGTTTTGTAGGCCCCTGTTGAAAAGCCAGGACACTCACAGTGTACATCACACTAAGATGCTAGCAGGCCAAAGTTGAGACCCATTCTTCTTAATTTTCCTCAAGCAGTCATAGAATAGCATTAAAACGCGAGCAAGTTATCTGTTCCCAGTTCTAGAGCATATGGGGCATTTTAAATCTTCTAAAAACACATCCAGCTATGAAGCTGTTAGGTAGGATCCTATTAGCTTTGACCATTCAAACAATGATGCAGAAACCTGAGTGGGTTGTTTTCTGATTTCCTGTATCAAAGTGGTCAGTTAAGAGGTACAGTGGAGAGGGCAGTCAGTGTGCCAAGTACTGAAGCTCCGTTCTTTGAAAGCTGTGCCCAGCATGTGGCATTTCTGAGCTGGCAACAAATAGAACAGTGGTGGGCATCTAGTGTCCCTCCAGGCTTTTGGCCTGTAACTCTCATCAGCCAGTGTCAGCATGGGATTAAGAGAGCTGTAAGCCAAACTGTCTGGAAGGGCACAAATTGCCCAACCTTAAGCAACACAGTTGAGGTTCTCCCTTTGTTCCCGAGGACTTGATTTTTTTCACTGAAATACGGTTTTCTTGCCAACCTGCTTGAGATTTGATTCTGTGCTTATAAACTAATGTAGCCTGAGCAGTATATACATGAGCCCAGGTAATACTGAATAGTAATGTATTTACACTTTCCGTTCTCTGAGCTTCCTTTGCAGAGACTTTTTTCAAAGTCTTGGTTATTCTTGACTTAAGAGGAAGTTCATTTGCTTCTTCAGATGTCAGCTGTAGGGCTGATTGATACTAAAGCTGTACATACTGCTAAGTGTAATATGAATTTGACAGAATGTTGCTGACTGCTTTCCGCTTCAGGCATATGCTAGTCATATGCACAGCATTTGTGCTGCTTTATGGATCCCGTGTGTTTTCTTTTTGTGCCCTAGGGTATTGTGGAGCTGACATTAAAGCACTTTGCACTGAGGCTGCCTTGATTGCCCTGCGACGGCGCTATCCTCAGATCTATATGAGCAGTCAGAAACTGCAGCTTGATGTTTCTTCAATCGTTCTCAGCGCACACGATTTTTACCATGCAATGCAGAATATTGTGCCTGCCTCTCAGCGTGCCATGATGTGGTCAGGGCATGCGCTATCACCTATCATAAGGCCACTGCTGGAGAGAACTTTCAATGACATCCTGGCAGTTTTGCATAAAGTGTTTCCTCATGCTGAATTCAGCCAGGGTGACAAAAGAGAAGGTACTTGTACCTTTTTACTTCGATCTATCCTACTTTTCTTTAATGCTTCATTTCTCCTGCAAACCAAGGATTAATATATCTGTGCAACTTCTTTATACACATAGGGTAACTTTTATATTTCAGATGGTCTTCTGTGACACACAAGACACTGGTTTTAAAAGCTAAGGAGGCTTCATCAGCAGAAGTCAGCTGATCAAAGAGAACTCACAATACTTACTTGGTGTGTGCAAGCCTTTGGATTTGCCTAAAGTAGCTTTTTTGGGTTCAAGCCAAAATATTTAGCTGAGCTAAAACTAGTGTATGCCCAAGCTAGTAACTTGCATTACCTATTGCAATCAACTGTAAGGAAGTTCTTCAATTTTTATCTTTAAATATTTAATATACTATTGTATTAGTATGTACAATTTTCTTATAATGTTATATAACTGTGATTAATGTGGTATAACTGTATAAACTATATTATTATTGCATTGCAATTATATTGCAAATTTTTCTCTCCTCTGAGGAACCCAAGATAGCTTACATATTTTTCTGCCATTCTTTTTTATCTTCACAAGAATAACCCTGTGAAATGGTTAGTCTGAGAGTCTATGACCAGCCCAAAGTTACCCAGTGAGTTGCATGGTTGAGTGGAGACTAGAACCTAGATCTCCCAGGTCCCCAGTCCAATACTCTTACCTGCCATACCCAACTGGTTCTGAAACCACACCATTCTGGCATAATTTAAATGAAGTCTGTATCATACGCTACTATAATAAATTCATTCTAGACTCAAAGGGTTGTAGCAAGACATACTCCATGTCCAGAAGTGACACTACTCCTGCAAATACTCCTGCTCTGTGACCTCCTATAAGCAGAAGGATAGAGAGGCAACTCTTGCTGATTTCCCTCTCCTATCTGCAGCTTCTGGAATATGTCCTCTGCTCTTCTGGAAGGTCTTTCAGCTCTCCAAAGCAGAGTTTCAAAGGCATAGGGATCTGCAAAGGAGAAGGCAATCTTCTGACCTTAGGAGCAAACATGTCCCTTTGCATTTGGTAGATTTTTATGCTGCTTTGCACCATGAGCCATAACAATTTCTCTAATTCTGTTCCATTGCATCCATCAACACTCAGTTTATTCATGATACAATATTCTGTTGCAAATATAGTAAATGCAAAGAATAGAAACAGAAATGCTTGTGTCTGTGTGTATGTGTTGGGGGCCATGCCTGTGAGAGGATAGCTTACTCAAGGTAGATGAATATTTTTGTATTGGGTTCTTGATTTTTTCAAGGACAGTGATTATGTATTAATGAACTCTTGATTTTGATTGAACAGATTCACTAAATCTGATTTTGGATGATAGTGAAGATGAAAATACTTCATCAATATTTGAGACAGATTGCCAGTTAGGATCACCAAAGAAACAGTTACCAGCTGCTATACATAAACCGTACCTTCATTTTACAATGTAAGTAGATGTGCTAAATAATACCCTGATTGTCAAAACATGCACAGGCAAATATGGTTACACAGTCAACATATGCTCATCATTTGTGATACTGTTCTGGCCTATAAGTTGACATGCCTTGTCCTAACAATTTCTCTATTCATATAGCAGGGGTTGGGTTTTTGAGAATGAAATATATAACGCCAAGAACATTGATTCTATATATTATTGTTTGATGCATGTTAACACCACTGAAAGAGCTATTGATGAATTCAATATCTTGTTTTAGTGTCTTGTGTTTATAACTGCTAATGTGTATGTGTGTACTTGGGTGGATGGACTGGGCTTCCTTTTTGCATATGTTTTTCACAAATAAGACTGGTCTGATGGCATAGCTTTTAAAATAAATAACTAAACTGGTACGCTTCCTGTTTAAGTGATTTTGTCTTAGGAATATTTAGCTCATTTGTCTTGTCTAAAAAAGTTTTTTTTAACTTAAAATATTAAGATCAAACCCACACAAAGTAGGTTATGCTTATATGAAGGCAGTTATCTTTTGAAGGCTTTAAGTCTCCAATAAATAGTTGGATTCCTTGACTTTTCCCTCAGTCTTACTAGAAAGTTCTAATGTACTTAATTAGAATTAGTGGCCACTAATGCCAAAGTTTCACATTAACAATTGAGATTTATTTTGGGAAATTTATGTACTGCTTTTCATTTTTCATAATAATGAAACAGTAAAATATCTCATTCACAATAACTAGAATTAGCTGGTAATGCTAGCAGTCAGGGTCCAAGGCTGGGATTTGGGCAGTCAGAGATAATACAAGAGCAACAGAGGCACCCAGGACCAGGGCAGCAGAACTCCAGGAAAGACAGAGGTGAAAAGCAGGCTTTAATGCATGGGTCCTCAAACTACGGCCCAGGGGTCTGATCCGGGCTGCCATGCCCATTTGGACCTGCCGCATGTGCGCCCACAGGCACGTGCACCGCCGCTCACCTCGCCCTGTGCATGGGGGGGCAGTGGTTTGCTTGCTTGGAGAAAACGATCACCAAGCGAGCAAGCTGCTACCTCATGCGCCCGCCTGGCAGCACGTGCCTGCCCCCACCCGCACCTCCCCGGGCGCATGTGCGCACCTGCGCCTCGCCACACCTTGCCTCGCTGCGCACCCTGCCCCCGCCTCAGCGCAAGCACCTGCACGCACCGCTTCCGCCCCTGTACCAGCCCATGCACACAGCCGGCACCACCTTTCCGGCCCACGCCCAGCACTGGCAGCTATCAACTGGCCCCCTTGTGGAAAAGTTTGAGACCCCTGCTTTAATGCAAAATCCAAATCATAGTTGCAGTACAGGCCGATGTCAGAAACCAGAAGAATGTATGAAGGCAGAACAAAGGCATGGCAGGAACAAGCCAAGGGTGGAGAACCAGAAGGACAAACAGAGGTGCAGGTACCTTAGACAGGTGGGGAGACACAGCATGGCAGGATACACTACAAGGCAAGATATGCAAGACGACTGGAACCAGATGCAGCAAGGATCTGGCAAGATGCAGGAGCTGACCCACAGCTCATAGGTAGCACTGTGTTCTTGGGGCAACATGGTGAGACATAGGTCAGGCAAGAGGCAGGAACCAGGAGCAGTCAGTTCTGGTGCAGGCACACCAGCAAACAGGCGAACCTGTGTTACTGAGGCAATATGGCAAAGGCAGAGGCACAGTAAGATGCAGGATACACAGCAGGAACCAGGCACAGGAAAGGTCAGGCAGGATGCAAGCACAGCAGCCAACAAGAGGACCTATGCTGCTGGGTCAACCAGGCAAGGCAGGAAACAAAACAAGGAGCAGGCTCTAGAGCAAACAGGAGGACCTGCATTGCTGAGGCCAGTTCTGGAGGGAAGAGCTTGCTCTTATATAGCTCTTCCCCCAGGACTCCCAGCTTACACTCATTGGTAGAATGAGAGCTCCAGCAGGGCTTGGCACCTATCTTGCAAATACAGTGTCATTATATTTAATCATTACTTTTAATTATAATGCATAATTTTCAAGGTCAAAGGCTGTCCATAGACACTCATTCACCTTCAGACACCATTCTTAGCCCCTACCAAGGTTCCTTGCCCTTACTCTTGTTTTCCTTTTTTTTACTTAACTCATTTCCTTACTGGTACCTAGGCTTGCTATGGAATAGGTTTCTGTTGATGCTGTGCACTATGGGTTCAGAGGAGATGTTTAGTGTGTTTTCAAGCTCTGCCCAGCTTCACCCTTTCACTCAGTTGATTGACCAGATTAAGGTTAGCGTTATCGTTTGCCCTGTTTGCCCTGTTTCCTGTCTCCCAGCTCGCTTATGATAGTGACTAGAAGATTTCTAAAATTTCCATATGTGTCCAGAGCCCCAAAAGGTGGCCTTCCTGTGTTTTAGGTTGTAAGAAAGCAAGTAGCACTCCAAAAGTCTTCCCTATTTCCTTTCTATACCTCCCAATCTACGTCACAGCTCTCTGTATGTGTACTATATTATTAGATGGAACAATATAGTTTTAGGGTACACTATCCTAAACTATAATCACTGTATGCCATATATAAATGACACTTCATTTTTGTAGTGGCATCAATATACATAGCCCCTTACACATGACACAAGCAGAGAGGACACACCTGTGTTCAAAGAAATATGTAAGCTAAATTCTGACAATACAGAAGCTACAGATATTTTGATCGCCTCATGTGAAACGCAGGTGAAACAGTTTGTTTTGTAATGTGTTTAAAGAAACAATTGAGATACACTTAATAAACTTGCAATAAAGTACTACGACTTTATGCATTGTGCTCTTTCCTTCAAGGTTGTTGGTGTCACTTGGCCCTGTGGGGACAGGAAGGGGACAGTCTAGCTGGAGCCAAGCCTTCATATCTTTGTCTCCCACCTTTGTTCTCCAGTTGCTTCCCAGTTCCATGTGCCAGGCAGATTTCCTAAACTTTTATCGCTTGGGCTCTGTGCTTTCGTTAAAGCAGAATGCACATTGATGGGGTTTAAAAAAAAATGATTGACTGACCTGAACTAAAACCAAACCACACAACAACTTCAGTCATTCTCAACTGGAATCAACCCAGAACATATCAAGACCAGAGAATTCAGCTAGGCTATTTTTGAAGTATACTGTTATAAAATATTCTAGACCCAATGACAGCCTGATTGCTAATGAATTGATCGAATTCATTTTTCTCCCCTGCTGTACATCACTCACAATAGTTAACAGTACAGGAGAATAAGAAAATACTTGGTTCACCAGTTTAGTTCTGAAAAAAACGTTCCTTTTGTTGCAGGTCCGCTCACCACCAGCCCACCTCTTACAGGCCAAGGTTACTGCTTTCTGGGGAGAGGGATTCAGGTCAGACATCACACCTTGCTCCAGCCCTATTGCACTCTCTTGAAAAAATTGCTGTACACAGATTAGATCTGCCTGCACTTTATTCGGTCAGTGCCAAGACTCCTGAAGAATCATGTGCTCAGGTTAGTCTATGTTTATATCTTCTTTGACCATTTATTCAACAAACTGCATGTCAAGAATTTACCATGTATACTAGAGCCTTGACTGTACTCTAAATCTAAATACTGAAACTCTCTTTCTGAGAACAGGTTGGGATATTAAGGGGCTCATATTCCACAGACAGGGTCTGTGTAATGCAGAAACTTTAAAGCAATGGCAGAAACTGTCAAAATGGTACTGGGTATCAGGATGGGATTGATTAATTGATAGACTGTATTTATATGCTGCTGCATAGGCTGGGGGCTCTCTGGGTGGCTCACAAGAAGCAGAAAACAACAACATGGCCATAAGACCATAATAAAATGAAAACTAAAACATCTAAAGCAACATAAAATCCAATTAATAAAAATATAGAACAGGGGAACAAATGAACCAGTAATAAAACCAAAACAAGCACTAAATTCTTTTCCTGCTGATGAAAGCAGAATAACTAGGGTGCCTCTTGTACCTCTTTAGAGAGAGAATTGCAAAGATGAGGTACAAGGCCCTTTTTCTGACCAAATACCTTCTCACTTCATTTGGGAGGCGGGTCACAAAGGAGGGCCTCTGTTGAAGATCTCAGTGGTCTGGTAGGGATATGCGACAGGCTTTCCTTCTGATATCCCAGCCCCAAGCCATTTATGGCTTTGTCTGTTAGCATGAGCACTTTGAATTGGGCCCAGGCAGTAACTGGCAACCAGTGCACTTGGTGGAGGACTGGCGTGATGTGCTCTCTGGGACTGGTCCTTGTTAGGTGTTACACTGCTCTGTTTTGGATTAATTGAAGTGCCTGGACTGCCTTCCTTTTTATGGTTCCTCTTTCTCTCTCCAAGCAAAGTCAACAGGATCATACAGTCACGTTTCACTGAAACCTGCCTCACTGCCCCTTTACTGCCATCTGATTAGAGGGAAAGTCTAAATCCAGCCCAGTAATTTGAAACACAAAGATTCTGTGTTGCAAGTATATGTATTATTAATTAATTAAAAAATTTGTATCCCATCCTATACGAAAATTGTCCTGGGGCGGCTTACAAGGACAAGAACAATCAATAAACAAAGTAACAAATAACAACAATTAATATACGAATACCAATAAAAACAATATGGACAAAACAAAATCAAAAATAAAATCAAAATGCAACTGTGAGTATTGAAAACCAATTAAAATTCCTAATCCTTAAAATAGTGGTTAAATAAAAAGGTTTTCACCTGGTGCCAAAAGGAATATAAAGTCGACTCCAGGCAAACCTCTCTGGGGAGCACATTCCAGAGTCTAGGCGTCACTGCAGAGAAGGCCCTCCTCCGGGTAGAGATCTTCTTTAGCTCCTTCAGGGAGGGTTCCTGGAGCAGAGCCTCTCCTACAGATCTTAGGGGGTGCAAGGGAATATAGGGAAGGAGATGTTCCTTCGGGTATCCTGGTCCCAAGCCGTTTAGGGCTTTATTGGTTAACACCAGCACCTTAAATTGAGCCTGGACTTCAGTCGGGAGCCAGTGAAGCTGATAGAGAACCGGTGTTCTATGAGAATGATGTCCAGTCCCTGTCAGTAATCTGGCAGCTTTGTTTTGAACCAATTGAAGTATCCTGACTATTTTCAAGGGCAGCCCCACATAGAGCATGTTACAATAATCCAACCAGGAAGTTACCAGAGCATGTGTCACCATTGCTAGACAGTGCTCATCCAAGTAAGGACGCAGCTGATGGAGCAGCCGAAGCTGTAGGAAAGTGCTCCTTGCCACCGCCGTCACCTGGGTTTCCAAGGGGCAGCTCTGGGCCAAGGAGCACTCCTAAACTGCAGACCCTATCCTTTAGAAGGATTGCAACCCCGTCCAGGACAGGGCCAAAATCACTTACCTGAAAACATGAACCACCCACCAAAAGAACCTCCATCTTATGTGGATGGACTCTCAGTTCATTGGCCCTCATCCAGCCCATTATTTTGGTCAGGCACTGGTTCAGGACAGCCACTGCCTCACCTGGATTAGATGTGAATGAGAGGTAGAGCTGGATGTCATCAGCATACTGATGGCTGCACAGCCCAAACCTCCTGATGACCTCAAAGCTATAGTCCCCCAGCACCACCTTCTAGAAATGGCTAGCCAGATAGGAGTGGAACCACTGCCATGCAGAGCCTCCTGCTCCTAGCCCGGCCAGCCTATTCAGAAGGATACCATGGTTGATGGTATCAAAAGCTGCTGAGAGGTCCAGGAGAACCAACAGGGATGCACTCCCCTGTCCCTTTTCCTGCACAGGTCATCGTACAGGGTGACCAAGGCAGATTCAGTGCCGTAATGGGGTCTGAAACCAGACTGAAATGGGTCTAGATAATCAGTTTCATCCAAGGGAGCCTGGAGTTGTCCTGCCACCACCCGCTGCAGCACCTTGCCCCCCAAAAATGTATGTTCTAGGAAGGCTCTTGTTAGGTCCCTGGAGTTGCTTTACTGTTTATTCATCATAGTGATCTGTAGTTGAATAGGACCTCATGATGAAAGCAAGGGCCTTAATTCATCTAAAACAGTCACCCCTGAGCTTTGTACTTTGAAAAGGTGGGCAACTTGTGGTCCTCCAGATGTTTTGCCCAACACTCCATCAACCCTAGTCCGTATAGTTAGTGGTAAGAGCAAGGCATGTGGAGGGCCTCAGTTTGTCCACTTCTACTGTATGAACATCATTTTAAAACTTTGATTGGGATGTTCATTGTCCTAGGATGTGTGCATGGGAGATAAGTGGGAACCTCAGTCAGTAGGGGAGCATCTTTGCTTATTCTTAACTGTGACTTGTCAGGAGATTGGCCCTGTGTGCTACTGTTCTTTCTAGCTTGATGTATGGCACTTCTTTTAGTTTACCCTACAGCAGTGGAGACACAAAAGCAACAAGTGATGTGTGGCGAGCAGGGAGTGGCCAAAAGGGGCCTGATAAAAGCATATTAGGGCAACATTTTATGCATGTTCAGACAGAAGAGATGTTCTGCAATTCCCAGCATTGTCCATCCCACATGGGTGGTTGAAGGCACACTGGGGTTGCAGGATTTTTCTTTTTCTTCCTAAGCTCACATAGGATGGTACTCTTAAGACTGCATTCCTAAACACACTTGAGTTTGAGTTAAGTGTATTTAAGATTGTACTGTTTATCTTGGCTGGGTATAATCACTGTAATTAAAATGAATATCTTGCTGGATCTGTTTGTAACCTTCCTACTGGAATTGGTCTTTCCAGAAATGACTAGTTTGATGTGACATGGCAGAAAGCCTGTTGAAAAGGTAGCCTGGCCTTGCAAATGTAGTTTACAATTATGACCTATTATTTTGTGCCAGAGCTGTGGTTGTATTTGAAATACTTAAAATTTATTTGGTGTTACAAATAAATGGTAGAGAATCCTCTCTATGGAGACTGAATTAGTGTATGTAGGGGTGGAATAGGAGAGGAATTGGCATTAAGTCCAGATACTTCATTGTTAATCATCATGCATAATCACAACCCTGCTATCACATGTCCATTACAGTCCACTAGGAAAAGCACATAATACAATGATAATATACTGATACCCACCAGTTTTTTTATAATTCAGAAAATTATTGGTGATATGCAAAATTACTCTTGATTAAGTCTAGTATTTTAGTTAAGTGGTAATTCAAAATTAACAAGAAGCCATTTTAAAGACTATAACATGTTCAAAAATTATATCTGGTAAAATTTAATGTCAGTTTTGTAATACATTATTATAACAATGCTTTGTGGGTATGTGACAGTTCAGGATATTTTGAAGTAATACAGGGAATTTATGTGAAAAATGCTTATAATTAGATCTAGCTTGTTTAAAAAGTTAACTGATGATTACATTTTTTTCACTTCCAGTCAAATATAAGCAATAAACCCACATGCTCCCTCCCATTTAGGTTTCTCTCCCTCCTATTTATATAATCTTGTATTTAAGAGTAAATGTTCCATGTGCATTAGTAAAATCATTAACCAAAAGTTGGATTTATTGAAATATACAGTGAAGTTAAATTTTTTATATGTATATATATATATATATAAAATTTATGAGAAATATGGTAAAATAAAAGGGTTATGTTAAATGTGTCCCTTTGTTGGTCTGCACTGGTGTTACAGTTAATCACATTGTTCTACATATATTCAAAAAGACTTTCCCATATTAATTGGAATTTATTTTCTTTTAGTAATTTGTTGTGATAAACCTTTTTATGAATTTATTTTACTTGAACTCTACCTTGCTACCTAAAAATAGTACTCAAGCCATCTTAGAGACATAATTGAAGTCAATTAAAGCAATAAAATATTTGTAAAATAAAACAGTTAACAGAATAAAAAAAAATTAAAATACCACTCAGCCCAGTAAACCCATTTGTAGGCCAAAGGTTTTCTTGACTAAAGCGCTCTTTGCCTGGTGTTGGAAGGACCCCATAAGGGAAGTGAAGAAATCATTTTGGCAGAGGAGTTCCATAGTCTGGGAGGAGCTACCAGGAAGGTCCTCTCTTGGGTGGCCATCAAAAGCTGTTCTGAAGACCACAGGTCTTGAAAGAAAAGTGTCTCCTAAAGGGTACCTAAGGTCACTAAATTCTGGATCCAAGTTGTTTAAAAGGGAGATTTAGTTAAATGCATCACACTCTGTAATATTATGTACTGTATTTTAAATTGTGCCTTCAATTAACTACTAATTTGCTTAGTATCATCTTAATGCTTCCCGACTAGATCTTCCGTGAAGCAAGAAGAACACTACCAAGTATTGTTTACATGCCTCATATTGGTGATTGGTGGGAAGCTGTCAGTGAAACTGTGAGAGCTACATTTCTAACGTTGCTCCAAGATATACCATCATTCTCACCTATATTTCTACTTTCTACCTCTGAAACTATGTATAGTGAACTGCCTGAGGAGGTGAGCATGAAATGCATTCTTGAGAAGTAAATAGATACCATTTAAGGGTTAATGAACCTGATTGTGTAAGCCCCACAATGTGCATGCAAGAATTTTCCGTCTTTTCTGACCTTGAGGGAAACCTCCACCAATATTTCATAATTTTTTATAGTTGAGGGAACTTAACAACCTTTGTGTAGGAACTGGCAACTGCATTTTGTGAAATCTGGAAAACGCTTGATTGTGTATATCTTTAGGGGATTTTTTTAATATTTGAAGCTGAAATTAAAAGATCAGTTTTATCTAAATGATAACAATGATAAATGATAAAACAGATTGAAACAAGCATTTCCTGTTGTAACTTTTGCACCCTCTGTCTTCCTCTCTTGATCTTCTACATTGTTGAGCTACTTGCCTTGAGTCTTATATATGCGATTTCCAAACTGGTATTGAAATCATTGAATAGCATTGTGGCCTAATTTTGGGTCTTCCATCCTCATTATCTTTCTGTGGGCATAGCCAGCTACTAATTTCTGCTAGAGCTAACCTGATATGAGACTTCCAATCTTACATCTCCATTTAGCAAGTGGCTCTTGGAAGTGACATCTGTAAAAGAGGAAGCAGTGGTATGGTATGAAGGCCTGCAGTTTGAATTTTTAAAAAAGTTTACAAATATTGCAGGCTTTATTTTTCCATTAACATATTACTTATGTTCATCATTAAATAATAATTAGGGTCTGGTGTCTATCACCTCGTATTCAGACTTTTGTGTGATTCCATATGCCTTTTCTTTAGAAGATCTTTAAGGGAGATCAGCTTCTTTTGAAAAACCAGTTCAGATGTTACTGCTTCATATACATACCACAAAACATCTTTCTTTTCCTTAAAGTATTCTTCAAGGCGCCTTACTATCAGTACTGGTCAATTGTGTGCAAGGTATGCTCTCCAGAACTCAACTATCTCTAGCAATATATGTGTACATGGTAAATTAGAGTAAAACAGTGATATAAGTGTTGCTTTTTTCAGTTTCTTTTTCATAGCTTGTATGTGGAATCTTGAAAGGAAAAAATTCTCAGCTTTTCACTTTGAAAAATTGGTCCTTAGAATTTAATGGTATTCTTGATGAAGTTATTAGAAGATTTTTTCAGTCCTCTAATTTCTCACTCTCTTAATTTAGGTCAAATGTATCTTTAAAATCCAGTATGAGGAGGTTTTTTACATTCAGAGACCTAGCAAGGAAGACAGGCGTAAATTTTTCCAAGAGCTGGTTCTCAATCAAGCATCAATGCCTCCCTCAAGGAGGAAACGAACAGGTTTGTTAGTTCTCTGTAAGTGTATGTGATCTTCCAACTGAAAACCAGCCTGCACATAGGACTTACTTCTGTGAATTTCTGTATTTAAATGAGGGCAGCTGAACAGCACTTGGTGGATAAAGCACAAGGAAGAAAGATTTGGGTTATGTCACACAGTCAGGAGGGACTACTTTGAGTGTTTCCTTATTTGTACTGGTTCCCAGGTAGTAAAGAGCAAAATGTGCTACTCAGCTCTGAATGCCTGTTTTGTCTTTCATTGTGGCTTTTGGCTGAACAATAACATTATTGCAACCTGACCATATTTAAAAGCATTGAAAAGGCACCCATGCCACTGAATGGTTCTGGAACATCAGTAGAGGTATTCTAGGCAGCTATTAATCATGGTTTTTCAGAGATTAGAAGCATTGTAATGAGATTGGAGGGCTGATGAGAGGCATAAACTGCCTTCTGTCATTGACCAGGGAACTCAACACATGTGAGTTCAGTGAGTGTCTGTTACTGCACAGTGTTATAAGCCGCCTTGCAGATCATTCAATCAAAAGGCAGGATATGAATTGTATCAATAAACTTTTTTTTTTTTTTTTAAAGTCCTGCCTTTAACATCAATTTGCCATCATGTAGGCTGTTGAGATTCCTTTTGGCAAGTATCTTGCCTGCTCCTTTTTCATTGAAAAAACGTTGCTGGTGATGAACAGAGTGTGGTTATTTATGAGAATTTCAGCGTCACTACAATATATTTCTTTTAGCTTGGTCTGCAAAATTAAGATAAGGCATGCTCAATTCTTGGTGTTATCAAGCTGATAAGAGTAAAAAGTATGAAATTAACTAGGTATTGTGAAATGTTATGGGAATTTAACCTGAAGAGCCTGTTTTGCCTCTGTTTTAGATCTTTCTGAAATGGAGGTGCTTCCTCTTGCATTGCCATCTCCAACCCGGCAGCTGTCAGAGATTGAAAAGCAGCGAATGGAGGACCAGGAAGAAAATACACTGAGGGAGCTGCGGTTGTTTCTCAGGGATGTTACCAAGAGGCTGGCCACAGACAAGCGCTTTAACATCTTCAGCAAACCGGTGGATATTGAAGAGGTCTTGTTTCAGTAACGTGCAAACAATGAAGTTGACCTTATTAGCAATGACTCAAAAAGGCATAGATTAGTAATTCCAGATTATATCTGTGATCTAACCTGGTTTGCATATTTAGAGGGTCAGTGGCTTAAGCTTAATATTTGAAGCCACAATACATGTTCTTGGCCATAGTGCTAACATGTAATATTTAGGCTGCATCTTCCATTCTGTGGTGATAATTTTATTAGTTCACAGGAATGAGATGCCTTGAGAAACAACATTGAGCCATTGGAAGACTTAAAATAAATTTGCTGTATTGTCTACTCTGATTTTTTTAAAAAATGAAAATTTATCTCTCCTGTTGTCAGCTTTTAGTCAAGAGTACATTGGAAAATTATAAGGCTGTTACTATGTCATTTGACCTATTGATTATTTGCATAACCGTTTGTAAAATTAAAACAAAGATTGACTCTGGATTGTCAAGGCTGAGTCACTATTAAATTTGCTGGACTTTGCCTTTATAGAAAGCAGACTTTGCCTTTACAGAAACTAAAAAGAAGGGCAAAGATATTTGCATACTAAAAAGTCACTTTTAGATCATGTTTATAAGTCAGATTGTGACATCTGTCCTATTTTTGGTCAACTTCAGAACTCAATTTTGCACAGAAAACTTACTCAAGAAATAGCAAGTTGTGGTGATGTGCTTAGAAAAATGTAATTTGCATAATGCTAGTATCTTGTGACTTGATTGTTTGCAGCTCATGTTTGGGTTTTCATATGGATTACACATGGAGAAATAACAAGCCAAAAATTATTGCTATTTTGCAATGCACAGCTGGACTAGTGGTTAATTTCTCAACTGTGGCAGAGCCCAGTCTGCCCTGGGAAGCTGTACTCATTTGAAAGTGACAGTCTATTTGCAATCCTAAATATATATGGTCCATGAGCATTGTTTATTAGTGGCACAAATGCATCCTTCGCATCCAGGCTTTAAATACTACTCGAACAGTTCCAAGCCTTGAGTTCTGGACTGAAAAGTGGTTCCCTGGCTGACTCCTGGCTCAAATCAAGCCATGGCCAACACCTTAGCACAGATATTTTGGATTTCAACTTGGATCAGACACAGCTAGCATGTCCTATAGTAGGGAGTGCTGGAGGTTGTAGTCTTAAACATCTGGAATCAGGGTGGATTTGGTTTAAATCAATCAAAATCACAATTTAAATTACCTATCAGTAAGACTAGATTTAAATCATGGTTTTGCACGTATGCCTGCTTTACCCATAAGTAGAGGAACTTTATTAAAATATTCCTAAACTGGGTCTGTTTTACAGCCTGCTGCCATTATAGGTTTTCTCCTCCAGATAAAGAATAAACTTCAGGCTATACACAAAAAGATCCAAAGACTTGTGGAGTATTCTACTTAAAAGTTTTCAATTTAGTTTTTACTGCTTGCCCCTCCCTCCTCACATTTAGCTTCTTGTGCAGCTCTATTCCACTCCCAACAATCTTCCTCTTTTTGAAACTTAACACTTAATAAGTAAGGGTTTGATTCTGTGTAAATAGATTTTCAAAGGAGTAATGGGATTGAGGTCTTTTTCTCAACTTTTTATGTTAATTTTATAACATTGTTGCTGCGAAGAATAGGCATGTGATCTCTGTGAACACACATTCAGTTTTAAGAACTGTAAAACCAAGCGTCTGTGGTAAGATCTTCTGGATAGAAAAATTGCCCAGTAATCTTACAGAAACTTGTGGAAGAGCATGACATTGTGAATGGATTAATGGAATTCATTTAGCACTACATTGTAACATTACATGAGTATATAGCTTCATGCTACAAAATTAAAAACTAATCCTTATTCCATGAAGAATAGCCTTTTAAATAATGTATCTTAAATAGAAAAATATCTTTAGGTAGATTTTTTTCTCGAAGAGCATTTTATTATTTAAAAAATCCAATTGAAATTTACAAATCCATTTTTTTATTTTTTTTATCATTGGTTTTTTAATCCACCCTGTCTGGAAGGCACAAGATTGGGAGAAGCTTGCTCTTGTCATCAGATCTTTTTTGTATAATGTAACCAAGTACCTTCCTTGTACTTAGGGTTGTTTGCTACAGGTCATCTCTTAAATTCAGCTGAGTGCTCTTGCAAGCCTCTCTTGACTAAAAATCTAAACTGTTAAGTCTTTCCTAACTTCATTAAAACTGCACAAATTACAAAATGATGCTTTTCACTGGAAAGGAAGGAATATTCATGCTAAGAGTGTAAGATGGAAAACTGGAGATGTGATCAAAGGCAGACATTTATGTTGAAAAAAGATGCCTAGAGAGTTCATTCAGTATTTTTCTTGAATCCATCCAGAGGTCTGCATAGCTACTTACCAACTCATCAACAGTGATGAGCATCTCTCTTATTCTGATTGCCATGCTTGTAGTAGCTAAGGTCTTTTCTTCGTCGTGGCCTCTGTGCATCACACATATGGGTTCTGCGCCTGCGCAGTGCCTTTGGCCGGAAGATTGATAGCTAATGGTTTCCTTTTCGGCGGGGACTCTGCTCCCCCTCCCCCCTAGCAGTATATAAGGAGCAGAGTGACCGCCGTTTTCAGTCTTTGCGACCGCTGTTCGCTGTGCCTCGTGCCGCTTCACTCTCGCTAAGATTTATTACTTACCTCGTTCCTTGTTTGAAAATCCTTGCCTTTTTCTCTTACAAGTTGTATCCCTTGTTCTTGTTACTACTTCACTTATATTTCTTAACGTGCACTATTTTTTCTTTCTTCTTATCGTTCCTATAAAAAAAACCAAAAAAACAAAAATATTACTTTCCCGCTTTACTATCTTCTTTCTCTTCAAATTTCTACAATGGCGCAACGGGCGGCGTTCCGCAAATGCGGAAAATGTGACTTGAAAATGCCCGCAGCGGATCCGCATGATCTGTGCCTCCTTTGTTTAGGGAAGGGGCACAGAACCGATATGTGCGGCCATTGTTTGGCCTTCTCAAAACAGGCGAGGAAAAATAAAGAGAACCGCCTTCGAAAACTCCTATGGGATCAGGCCCTTTTCCAATCTGACCGCCTGGTGGCTAAGTCTTCCACTGTTGTGGCCCCACCCAAAGGCCGTCCAACTTCGGCTGAGTTGCCGCAATGCCCGGCCTCTTCCATTGCTCCGCCTTCACGCTCCTCTCAGGAAGGTGCACATGCTATGGCCGACCAGCCTGTTTCCCTGCCGAGGAAACAAAAGGAGAAGAGAAAGCACAGTGATTCAGATAAACACCCTGTGCTTAAGAAGGCCAAGAAGGACAAGACGAGCAAACCGACTAAAAAGCCGAGGAACCCTGAGCAGGCAAAACAACGCCATTCAGGCTCGGCCTCGTCTTCGATCCCGATACCGATCTCGGAACCGACTCCCTCGGTACTGAACATCCAGGAGGCTATGAGGGTCACCCCACCGGGTTCACCACGCCAGCTGGCTGTCGAACCCGTAATGGAATCGAGGAGGGGTTCCATCTCTGATAGGGAAATAAGAGACTCTCCACCTAGAGCTCGATCACCAACCCCAATGCCATTGGTACAGATGGATACTGATATTGCCATCTCCCCTCCAAGAAGCCGTAGGAGCCGTTCCTCGGATGCGAGATCGGACGATTGGTACCAATCTAGATACTCCTCCGTTCCGAGACGAGAAGAGTACTACTCTGCAGCCTGCTTCCCAACCAGGGAACGATCCTCGCCACCAGCCTACCGGGAGCGTTTCCATTCGACTCCCAGAGATGCCCCGAACGCCCCATCTAGAGAACGTGGCAGATCGGGGTCATCGGCTGAATCTTCCTCCAGTGTGCCTCCCCCTTACTGGATGGAATCTGAAGAGTCTGAGGCTGATTCAACCTCACCAGATGCGGCAGTTATGTCACAGGGACCAGGATCACCTGATGAACCCTATATGTCATTTAACGATCTCATGGCCAGACTAGTGAGATCGCTTGATATAGAAACCCACCAGCAGCCGGGACCGAGCACGGACCGCTTTTATGATGTTGTTAGAGGCGAACGATCCACATCCATTGCCTTGCCGCTTATTACAACTTGAAGACAGGCAATGACCCAGCCATGGGACCTTCCAGCTCAGCCGCAACCGACTTCACGGAAATATGAGTCGATGTATCGGGTGCGAGAGGAAGACATCCCGTTTCTCTTCCGCCACCCGAAACCAAATTCGGTTGTGGTGGAATCATCGCAGGGTCGGGAGGCCCGTGGACATACCTCGCCTAGAGATAAGGAGGGCAGAAAGGTTGATTCCCTTGCCCGTCGGGTCTACGCAGCATCGGGCCTGGGATTAAGGATCTCTAATTATGAGGCCACCCTGGCGCGTTACCAATATTTTTTGATGCAACGCCTAGATGCCATCATAGATACGATGCCAGGAAACCAAGGCGAACTTGCAAAAACCTTTGTTAAAGAAGCTATGCAAGTCGCTGTGCAACAGCTTTCTACTGCAAGGCACCACGTAGACTTGGATTCGAGGTCGCTGGTCGGGGCCATTTCCCTCTGCAGACACGCCTGGTTGCGTAATTGCAACTTCCCTGACGAAATGAAGCGGAGAATTGAAGAAATGCCGTTCGACGGATCCGGTCTCTTCCATGCAAGAACGGACAGTAAACTGAAGAAGATTCATGAGTCCCGCATGACCGCTCGTCGTATGGAACTACAATCTTTACCTAGACGTAAGTGGTCACGGTCACGCCCGCAATACCGTTCGCAGTTTCCGCTTCGGCAACAACAACAGCAACAACGTCACCAGCGCCGCAGGCAGCAACCACCCCAACGCTTCCAACAGGGCCACCGTAGATTCGATACGGACAGGCGACAGCGTTGATGTGACGAGCGAACCATTCCTCTCCTCCCATCTTTACCCTTCCCCCTCTCATTTGGGGATCGACTGAAGAGTTGACTCTCCATTTGGGAGTCAATTACATCTGATGGATGGGTATTATCTATCATCCAGCATGGATATGGAATCGAATTCGATGTTGTACCATCTCCGAGTCCTATTCGATATACTACGCCTTCTTTGGTGCTGTTAGACGAGATTCAACAACTTCTCGTTAAGGGAGCTATTCGTCGCCTCTCGTTATCGGAAGGACTCCATGGAGTCTATTCCAGATACTTTACGGTTCCGAAACGTGATGGAGGTCTTAGACCAATACTGGACTTGAGAGCTCTTAATAAATTCATAACACCAAAGAAGTTTCGGATGACCACACTACAAAGTATTCTTCCGCTGCTGGGAAGAGGGGATTGGTTCGCTTCATTGGATCTAAAAGACGCTTATTTTCATATTTCAATACACCCAAGCTATAGGCATTTCCTACGCTTTGTGGTAGACCATGAAGTTTATGAATTCAATGTTCTACCATTTGGATTGGCCACGGCACCAAGGGTTTTCACGAAGTGTATGGTCCCTGTGTGTGCACACCTTCGGCTGTGTGGGATTCGAATCTACCCGTACCTTGACGATTGGTTGCTTGTTGCCGATACGGAAGCTGGACTTGCATCTGCTATTGAACTTACATGCGCTCTGTTGCACGACCTTGGACTTTGCATTAATCGACGGAAATCTTCCCTTGTCCCTACGCAGGTGATCGATTTTATCGGAGCTCGACTGGATTCGACGTCAGCAAGAGCCTTCCTTCCTCGAGACAGATCATATGCGATTGTTCATCGCATTACTCGAATTCGGCATGCAAGAACCGTTTCTGCCCGATCTATTCAAAGCCTTTTGGGGCACATGTCTGCTGCCATCGCTGTGGTCCCTCATGCCAAGCTACGGCTACGTCCCCTTCAACTGTTCTTCAACAAACTGTTTCGGCCACAGATAGCCCCTCCTACCAAATGAATCTGACTATCGGCTTCAGTTCTCCAATCCCTGCTATGGTGGATGGACTCAGCCAATTTAACCGTTGGCGTTCCATTTCAACCTCAGTACCCCACAGTAACCCTCGGTACCGATGCGTCACTGCTGAGATGGGGGGCCATCTGCTCCAATCTAAGTACCCAAGGGAGATGGAGCCATCGGGATGGCAGGAATCTTATCAATTTTCTGGAACTCCTTGCCGTTTTCAAAGCACTGCAAGCTTTCGAGGATCTGCTCCTCCATCAGATCGTTCAAGTGACCTCCGACAACGTGGCATCGGTCTTTTATTTAAACAAACGAGGAACCCGATCCCAGAAGCTAGCCCGTCTCGCCATGCAGATTTGGGACTGGTGTATATCAAGGGGTATCAGTATTCTAGCAGTTCACCTTGCGGGCACCGACAACACGGAAGCCGATCTTCTGAGCAGACACATGTCATGCTCCCACAAATGGGAGTTAGACCGTCGGGTTCGAAACATGTTATTTCACCGATGGGGTCAACCAGACATCGACCTGTTTGCCACTCAAGAGAACAGAGTGTGCAGGACCTATTGCTCCAGAGCGGGAGTGGGTCAGGACTCCCTGGGCGACGCTTTCATGATTCCATGGACAGGCATGATTTTTTATGCTTTTCCCCCGATCCCACTTACCATGAGAGTGCTTGCAAAGATCATTCACGAAGGAGCTACAGGAATACTAATCACTCCATGGTGGCCACGACAGCCGTGGTTCCCAACTCTCCTTCAAGTTTCCAGGGAGGATTTTCTTCAACTCCCTCTTCTCCTTTATCTAATCACCCAAAAGGAAGGCACAGTTCGTCACCCAGACTTGCTATCCTTGAAACTGACCGCATGGCGGATACAGTGACCCGGGGTGATACATCGGTATCGACACCGCCTACCATTCCAACCATGCATGCCCAGCAGAGCCTGCACCCGGATCTGCAGTATATTCTTGAATCTGCACTACGACCATCTACCAGGAAGTCGTACGCAGCAAAATGGAAAAGATTTTCTAACTTCGCCAATTTACACTCTTTTCCAGCCTCCTCAGCCTCCGTTTCACAGATACTTCAGTTCCTTTTTGAACTACATCAGTATGGACTCAAACCTTCATCTATAAAGGTTTATATAGCAGCGCTCTTCCACTACAGAGGAGCTATACATGGTTTTTCCCTTTTTACTCAACCTCTGATAAAAAGATTTTTGAGAGGCTTAAGTAATCTGAATCCCACTGTAAAATCCCTAATGCCTACATGGAGTCTCTCGGTGGTTTTACAAGCATTAACCTGATCACCGTTCGAGCCCATGGCGACAATTGATTTACGCCTTGTTTCTTGGAAGACAGCCTTCCTCGTGGCAGTGACTTCAGCACGTAGATCCTCTGAACTATGCGCTCTTCGAGTGGATCCCCCTTTTCTAAATTTTCATAAAGAAAAGGTGGTTCTTCGTATGGATCCGTCTTTCCTTCCGAAGGTTGCTACCTCTTTCCATATGCAACAGGAAATTGTGTTACCGGCGTTTTTTCCGGTCCCTTCAAATCCGATAGAAAGATCTCTACATATGCTGGACGTCCGTCGCTGCTTAGCCTTTTATAGATCCAGGACTGAATCCTTTCGACATTCAAATAGACTCTTTGTGAAATATTCGGAGCACGACAAGGGTTCTCCAGTTACCTCTCAGCGCCTTTCGAAATGGATAGTTAATACAATTGTCCTAGCTTATCAGCTCGCCAAGTTGGACTTATCATCTACTCCAAAAGGCCACTCCACAAGAGCTGTCGCTGCCTCTTCAGCCTTTGCATCGGGAGTTCCGATAGAGGACGTGTGCAAGGCGGCCATTTGGGCTACCCCGTGCACCTTTGCCAAACACTATCGGCTAGATGTCTGTGCCAGACAGGATTGCTCTTTTGGCAGAGCTGTACTTTTGTCTGTCCTTCGATGATGACACCTCCCTCCTCTGGTTGGGGTAAGCTTGTTATTCTACCCATATGTGTGATGCACAGAGGCCACGACGAAGAAAAGCAGGTTGCTTACCTGTAACTGATGTTCTTCGAGTGGCCATCTGTGCAGTCACACAACCCACCCTCCGACCCCTCTTGGTGTCATGGGTGGTTCGATTATTTTTACTTAGATATTATAATCTCTCCTATGTGTTGTACCGCTACTTTTTTACCCTTCTTGTACTAATGTGCAATGTCATAGGGAACCGAACGTCGGTCTTTCAAAGACTGAAAACGGCGGTCACTCTGCTCCTTATATACTGCTAGGGGGGAGGGGGAGCAGAGTCCCCGCCGAAAAGGAAACCATTAGCTATCAATTTTCCGGCCAAAGGCACTGCGCAGGCGCAGAACCCATATGTGTGACTGCACAGATGGCCACTCGAAGAACATCAGTTACAGGTAAGCAACCTGCTTTTTTTAACAAAGGCCTTTTTTAATGCAAGCCTTTAGAGGTATTCAGAAGCAATTGCAGCAACAAGCTCTTGCCCTTCTCCTGCAGTAGGGAAAGGGTAGGTAGGGATTAATTCTTGCTGTTGTTCTCAGCTCCAGTGGTATTCCTAAGCATGGTAGGTTTTTGTTTGAGTAGCTTTACAGTTCAGCCTGATTATAGCTCTTACGTGCTCACTGGTGACTGTAGAGTTTTGCTGGTTACATATATATCCAGCCACTTCCATGCTTCTCCAAAGAATTCATGGCAGTGTGTTTGGTATTTTCCATAACCAGTTTTGCAGAATTATATAGCAATAAGTTTATTAAAAGGTCAGTAAAGCCAAAAGGCACAGTTAGGGATCCATTAGAGTGGATTGTGGGGGATTAGAGGGCCTTTTGTAGTACCTCGAAACAGAGTAGAGAAAACTGGTTATTGATGATTTGAGCCTGCAGTGTGGCAAAGGTGTTATTCTTGAATATGTTAGGCACATTTTTAGTAAAATGAGGATTGCCTTAAACTTAGGTGCAGAGGCTAGAATATGTTATCCTTTTCAGACAGGAAGAAAAGGTAGTTGACAAATGGATAGGACTGTTTTCAGATGAGGAAAATGGGTTAGATTAAGAGTAGTGTGTGCATGCGGGATATATTCACTATTTAATTTACTGATGGGGAGGCAGCCAATACTTGCAGAGACATGGCTTGGTCTCCTGAACTATACTGGAACAAACACTAACTTATATCAAACTTGATTCAAGAGGATCATATTCTTATTCTGGTGTGTTAGTTCAGGTCTACTGGATTCAGGACATTTTTTCCTCACCTTATAATAGCAAACATAACTTTGAGGAGGAGGATAATTAAACAGATTAACACGCATTTGCATATATTAAACCCTATTCATGGAAGGTTATTGTTATATCCAATTTTTTCCAGGTTACTTAAAATGGCAACCAGACACTGTACAGCAGAACTTAGGGCAAAATTCACTACTTCAGAATGGTCTTCCCCCTTAAGACTTTTGGCTTTCACTCCCTTTAAAAATTCGGTATGATACTATATTGCAGCATAAAAATTTCTTTAGAAGATTAAGCAAATGGGGCTTTATTTTGAATTGGAGTCAATTTTGTGTCAGGAAGCAGCTTTCTCTAAATCAAACTTCTCTTCTCCTTCTCCTCCTCTTCCACCACCACCTTCTTACGTTTATATCCCACCTTTTCCCCTCTTGTGAGGAACCCAAGGTGGCTTGCGTAGCACCATTTAATCCTCACAACAACCCTGTGAGCTATTTTGGAGTGTGAGTGAATGACTGGCCCAAAGTCACACAGCTTCATGGGAACTGGAACCTGATCTCCCAGGTTTTCCGTCCAGCACTCTAACCAATGCACCATTCTCTCTTTAATGCAGGGGCTGGGTTGACTTTCAGGATACCCACCAGGGCTGGATGAGATCAGGGAATGGTCTCTACCTTTCTGCTTTTCTCTTATTAGAGCTAGAGAGGGAAGTATTTCAAGAACATTTGATTTACGAAGCATTCTTTCCTTTTCTTGATTGATGTTGTACTGTTACTCAGGTTATCTTTTGTGTTGATACATGGAGCACCATATCCTTATGCAGGCTTCTCAGTTAATGCGAAGTCATTGTGTGACTGAAGCTCTGGTGTTTGAGCAGGCATGTTCATGGACACATGTAATGAAATTCCAAACTGAAGTGTGGATTGGTGAAAGTCAGGCAAGGATTGGGGTGCAGTCCCACCTTCTCATTTCTGTGTCTTCTCAGCAAGTGTAAAATCTAAATTGGGCTCCTCTTTTCAGCTATTATGAATCTATCTGCAGCTGACAATACCTGCTTAGAAGTACGTGTGTATGTTTTAGAAAACACCAGAGATAAGCCTGTTGCACTGGGTTTGAAGCCTAGGAAATGAGTGCTCCATTTCTCACCTTCTGTTATATTTGAAAACAAAACAGGTTTAAAACTATTTGTAGAGAACCAAATGGTTCTCATAGGATTGAATAATAATATGCTTCCTTAAATTTATTGTGACAGGCTGCCGTGAACTACAGTCCACTCCCTCTAGAAATTGTGTAAATTAGTGACGAATCATAGTGTGAACACAAAGTGAACCAATATCAATTTATCTTTCATGAATCAAAATGTTTTGAAGTAAACATGTCTGAAAATGTAAATAATTATAGCGCTAAATATGCTAACATTAGCATAACTCTCTGTGTCACTGAGGTGTACCATTTGATTATAGGTTTCAGATTATCTTGAAGTTATCAAAGAGCCAATGGACCTGTCTACAGTAATAAGTAAAATTGATAAACACAACTACTTAACGGCAAAGGATTTCCTAATAGATATAGATCTCATCTGCAGCAATGCATTGGAATATAATCCTGACAAAGAGCCTGGGGGTAAGATAACTTTATGAGCTTTAGATCATATATGGAATCACAGTGTTGCCTCTGCGACTTCTTATTTTGAACAAAGGCGTATATTTCTCGGGCTCTGGAACTCTCTGCTGCTGTAACGCAGAGTTCTACAGGCTGACCCTTCCCCACTGCCACCAGTTCTGTCAGAATATTTTAACATCTCTTTGTTCCAGGTATAAGACATGAGATGAGTACCAACATCAGTCAAACTGAACTGTTAAAAGAAAGTTATGTATTAAAGGGATATTTTGTACATAAAGGGTTGTGAATATTTATTTACTTGGGGCTGTTCAGAAGACTGTTTAGCGACAACTCCTTAGAACTCTAGGCACTGGGTGTCCAGTCTTGATAGCCCACCTTGGCAACAAGCTGGAGCGGAGATGGGTAGTTGTGCAAATGACCCCAGTGCACATGACAGGAGATGGGTTGTTTCCCCCCCATCCCTTGGGGACGCCTCCTTTGCTATCATACTGTGAGAAGACTAAGTTGTCCACCTCCACTGGGCTTGCCACAGACTTATTCCCCTTTAAGTTCCTTGTCCTCCCCCCCCCGCTCCCCCGGATTGGGAAAGGCAGCTCCCAGGCATGTTCTCCCTGTATTGACAGTTCTGGGTAGTGCCTTCAGAATGCCCCGGCTGAATGCCAGAATGCCAAAAATTTTAAACTATTTTTGTGCCTCTTAAACAACAAATAATTACTAACTTTATTTTTATTTTTCCCACACTTGCACCACTGTAGAGAGAACGAGCGTCAGGTGGGCAGTGGGCAGGAGGGTGCCTGCTGGCACATCTTCCCACTTTGACAATGTGTGAAAGCTTGAGTCACCCCAGTTACTGAAGTGGTTACCTTTGACAGTGGTCAAAGCTCCATTTTTCAAGTAGGATTTAGAAACAGTCAACACTTTCTTTCTTTTTTTCATTTGTTTGTCCGTCCTGACAGAAAAGCATATGTGCCTGTAATGGTGTTCTCTACGCAAGGTACTTGTGATTCTTTACTTGTGGTCATTTGGAGGGAGGATGAGAATGGTTTATCCTCTTTGGCCTCTCTCCTGTTTCCAAGTATTTCCCTGCTGCTATTTGGTACAGGGATAAGGGGTCTTAGTTAGCCATTGTGCTCAAACAAGGACCTGTATACCCACAGTTGCTACAGCACCCCATTGGAACAGTCTGACCCTGAACATTGATTGGGTTCACACAAATGATAAGCCCTGATGGCTTCATGCTGGGATGTTGTGTTGTCTTAATTCCTTGGCAGCCTACTTTGTTAACTCTTCTGGCTGGGTTCAGACAACACAACCATCTTGGTGTATAAGCTACCATGGCTTATCACTTGTATGAACTCAGTAATTATCTGTACATTTTAGAACTTAATTAGCTTTACGTTTTGTAATTAAAGCATATTTGTTTCATCAGGCACTTGCATGTTTAATGCTTTCAGTTTGATTACTTGTAAGGATATTACTTTTATGGTGGTTAATTGTATAGTTTTAATTATGGGTAATTTAAATGATCATCTGTTTTTTAGATACTTTATACCATTGCCTTGGGCACTCCTGTATAACAAAGATGATTATAAATTTAAAAGTAAAAAGCCTTTGCTTATTAAAACAAGTTATGCTAATTTTGTAGATAAAATAATTAGGCATAGAGCCTGCACTCTGAAAGACACTGCACATGCTATCATTGCTGCTGAGCTGGATCCAGAGTTCAATAAAATGTGTGAAGAAATAAAGGAAGCAAGGAAAAAAAGAGGTATTCATATAATTCCATTAAAATATGTTTATCATAGATTTATTGGGGCAGTGAAAATATACAAGCAGCATTACAGTCCCGAACATCATGCAGAGTGGCCCGATTTGGACGTAGCAGCAGCATATGTTGACAGATTGTGGGTTAATTAACCCCCGGATTCCACTGATGCACATTTCATCTGTGCCATCTTCCTGTTTCATTAACAGCCTTCAGATGTGATATCTGTGATGTTGTGCCTTGAACAACCCCAGTAAATCACATTTGGATTAAACAGTTGTGTCTTTTTTTCGCTGGCAACTCAGCCCACACCTCCTGATAACAGTTTAGAGAGGACTGGGTGGGGGATCATCTGTCCCCACCTCACCCTTATTGCTTGTCTTTGAGAAGACTTACAGTTTTGATCCAGGTCTGTGGAAAGTTAAAGCCATCTTGAATGTCATTTATTAAAACTGGTCACTTTGGAGACCTGATGTAATTTATCAGTGGACGGTACAATCTGATGCACTTTTGTCCAAGCCAGTCCTACCAATTTCCATGGGACAGAGTAGATTTGCTGAGGGTTGCAACCTTTGATTTGAAACCCACCTTTGCCATGTAAGTAGGTGGTGGCCTAAGGCAAGTCACTTGTCCTCAGTCTCAAATTTGCATGCTGGAGGTGATAATACCCTATCCATTTTACAGGTTTCTTGTAAAGCATATGGTACAATTCATCTGAAGTGCACTGGACACAGAAATGCTATCTAAATGTGAAATACTGTTATCATCATGAGAAAGAGAGCGAGCGAGAGAGAGATTCTTTTCCAGTGGTCTCTTTTTATATTCCAAGGGCCTGTTATGTTCATTTGTTAGAAAAAGTATATAGTCTTGATGCAAATATTTTTGTAGTGTACATCTAAATTCATTTGATTACTATATGGGTTTTAGTATTATATTCGAGGCTGCTTTTAAAAACTCGGTTAATATTCCTAGGATTATTTAAATATGTATGCTTATCTTCTGTGTGCAGGCTTATCAGTAACAGCAGAGCAAATAAATCCTCATGGTTCCACTGTACAGAAAACAGAAAGTAGAGTTGAAGAAGCATTCCAGAACAGGCAAAAAAATGCAATGACAGTTTGGCAGAACTCTGCAAATAAATGTGCATGTGAGTAATTCAGATTGTTTAATCAGACTGCAAGTGTGGCAGCAGCCAAGACATGTATACTGTTCTTACTACTGGAGAAATAGTTATTCTTCTCAGTGTCTTCTTCCTCAAAATAAAGCAGCCTTACCACTGCTACCTGTATTGGTTAGTTTTTATAAATTGTCTTCTTTTTATGACAAATACTTTTCATGAGTTTTAGGTGACGCCATATATAGGTGATGCTACATGAGGTCCCTGAAGAAGTATGGAAGAACTTGGGACAGAGACTTTTTCACTGAAAACTTAATGCATCAAAATTGATTTGGATTTTTTTAGGGCAGGGGAGAATGCATGTATTGCTTCAACAGAAACATTGTAATTTCATCTTAGAGTGTTATTTATATCACTGTAACTACCCATAACTGGATATTTTAAAGAGAAAATGGGATAGTACTATCCTCAACAGCTTGAGGATCAAAAGTTTGGGTAGAGGGTGGTGATGAGATGCACATTGCATGAATGGTTATATGTACATTAGCTTTATGCATAGCTCCTCTTGGTACCTGAATGTATAAATGCGGGGAAGTGATTGATGGCATATTTCCTTGAACCCTGGAAATGGATAAGTACAGTGGTACCTCAGCTCACGAATGCCTCAGTTCACGACCAAATCGGGTCACAAACAAAATTTCATAAAAATTTTGACTCAGGTCGCAAACTCCGCATTGGGTGGTGACTGCGATCACGGCCATCCCCCCCCACCCCCCCCAGTGGGGAGATGGCTGCGATCGCAGTTGTGCTTATGCAGGGAAGACAGGCACAATCGCAGTTGTGCTGGGGGGGATGGGGAGATGGCCGAGATCACACCCGTCTTTCCTGCATGAGCATGCCTGTGATCGTGCCTGTCTTTTCTGCACGAGTGCAACTGTGATCTCGGCCATCTGCCCCCACAGCACAATTGTGCCCGTCCCCCCCCCCCACAAGCACACCCATCTCCCCCCTCCCCGAGTGCATCCACAAGCATGCCTCTCTATGGCTGTGATCATGATGTCCGGGCTGGTGCTTGGGGGGGGGGGGGCGGAGATGGCCACGATCTTTGTCGTTCTTTGTCAATTTGCTTCAAATTTTTCTAATTAAAAAAATAGTTACAGAATGGATTAACTTTATTTACATTGAACCTTATGGGAAAATTTGACTTGGCATAAATTTGACTTGGCACGATATGCATAAAGACAACATGGACTTTGCTTATATACTTGTATAACACTCTGACAAGGCAGTGGGATGGGATGAAAAGAAAACTTAGATATTTGTATATGCTGCTTGTTCGCCTTACAAACCTTTGAATGTAAAATGAGTCAAGAACAGTGAGGATCATGCTTGAATGCACGTGGCACCGATAAGGATGCTTTCAGTCCACTAAAGCAACGTTACCTGAGTGTGTTTGTGTGATCAGTTCTTGTTTTTAGAGGCTTAAGCATTGGAAGTGTATTTTTAAAAATGTTTTAGCTATGTTAAGCATACCTAGATTGTTCCTTGTCATTGCCAGTAGATGGTGTCAAAAGCATATTATTTTGCATCATTGAATTACTTGGTAACAATATTTAATTGCTGCCCTCTCAGGAAAGGATCTGTTGTTGAACTACTGCTTAAACATGTCATACTGTATTACATTGGTGAAGCATAATGGCCTAATGAGGTTTTTTTGCTTCTGTTAAGGCCTAGCAAATTGTGTTGCAAGAATGTACATCATATGTATGTCGACTTTCCCCCTTACAGCAGCTTGCATCTTCTCTCTGAGAACAGTCACTAAACAGAGTGAGAGAAAAGTAGAAAGAGCCTGCTGAATATGATGAAGAAATGCCTTAATATCTGTCGTATTGTACAGAAACTTGACAAGTAATTTGCCTGCCTGGATGCTAGACAGCCAGACAGACCTGGAAGGGCAAAGCTTTGAAATTCTGCTCTGTACATGCTAGAAATTCTTGTTGACTTCCTACTCCCCTTCTTTACGTTGCCAACCCACTTATGTGTTTCTTTTCAGAGCTATAAAGATAGAAGCTTGTTTTCTTTTCGAAATGTAAACTATCATTTCCAAACTGTAGAATTATTTTACATTTCTTTCTCAAATGAGATTATGGAATTACAGGCATCTCTGCCTTTTTGCTGCAAACTGAACAATCCTTAATTTGTATGCTGTTGATTTTAATTAAGGGCCATGGCTCAAGTGGCAGAATATGCAAAAAAATATGCTTCAATCTGTGGCATCACAAGGGAGGACTGAGAAGTAATTCTGCCTGAAACCCTGGAGAGTTGCTGCCAGTCAGTGTGTCCAATATTGAGCTAGACAGAGTAATGGTTAATTAATTAACAGATTAATTCATTAACTCAGCTTGGCTAACACACACATGCAGCCCTGGTCAGGGTTATATTGTATGAAGCCAGAGGGGTGTTGGTCATACAACTCTTGCCAAGCCCTAAAAGAGAGCATGGGTTATGTGAGAGTTGTTTAACCCTCACAGAACCCAACCTTGCTGTGTTCCCTTGACACAGCATCACCGGAGGGAGGTGGCTGCCTGTGTCCTGCATGTGCCACAACCTTGCAATGGGTTGTGGTGCAGCTACAGTGTGGGGGGCACTTGCCACTGCCTTTTGAATAGCCCACGATGGACTGCTGTGTTATGCAAATAGCCCCACTGTAACTTAAAATCTGTGCACTTAAGTGGACTCCTGGAGATAGTGGAGGACAGGAGGGCCTGGAGGAATGTTGTCCATGGGGTTGCAATGGGTTGGACACAACTTCGTAACTAACAACTTAAAATCTCAAACTGTAGCTTATTCCTGAACTTCTGAACTAGAAATTAATCTGCTTCTTTGATCCCTATGAATTACTCCTCTGCTGTGATGTGGGGTGGAAAATTTTCCCGAAATGGAACATTTTTCAGTGCATGATTTTTTCGTGGAATATTTTCTATTTTGTGAGTTCATTTGTAACAATTATTGGGCATCAGTTGCTAATATAGTGGTAGGTGTGCTCAGGTTTTCATGTTGTGAATGAGTAGCTATGAGTGTATCATACAGTGTTCTTTGGACTGCTAAAGTATATTAGTATGCCAACAATTTGTGTGTGTGTGTGTGTTTCCTTTTCCTTTAAATAATATAAGGGAAATATGTGCTGTTATCTTCACAGTTTTACAAATATTCCAATAAAACGTAGTGATATAACATTTAAATTAAAATGCTTTACATTTCTTCCTCAAATATTTCAAGTTGGATACTTCTGTATTGTGACAGAAAATTAACACTTTAGAAAATGTATTTATTAAATGCAAATAAAACTAATGTGCTAAATTAGGTCACTCTCTAATGCTCCCTTCTCCAACTCCATGCTGTCGAGATGTTTTGGACTTTAACTCACATCAGCCACAGACAACATGGCTAATGGGTAAGAATTGGAGTTGTAGTCCAAAACATCTGGAGGATACCAAAAAAAAAAATTCTGATGCAGTTTACCTAATTTTGTGCAGGAAAAATTGTACACTTCAATTCGCATAGGATTCCCCCCCCCCGCAATGATTGTCTGACATCTCTGTTTTTCTGAAGCTTTTTAGCTGCAGATTCCCTCTACTCTTGTCCCTGGCAAATGCTTTAATATTACCACAAAGCACCATGTACTGGTGCAGCCTGAATACAATATTTCCCTTTGACAGCAAATGTGAAATTTTAATTCTTTGCTTGGTGGATTTTGTTGCTCCAGAAGATATTTAGAAAAACTAGGTAAAAAAACCTAAGTTGAACTCTAGTTTTCACTTTTGGTAGTGAAATAATAAAGGTATAATAAAGTGTGATGACCATAAATACGAGTTTCAAGTCTTCATGTCTGATAAAGGCAACCCTATATGTCCCATCCTATGGTAGTCCATCTAGTTCTGTCCTTGCGTTGGGTGGTAAAAACATTGTCTTTTCAGAGAGCATTTGGGAACAGTCCGAAGCTCTTTTGGCAGACAGCTGCTGCTGTTTTTTTCTAGCCATGGTTTCCTTTTTTGCTGTGCTAGCTGCCCTGTTTTGGACTGTTTAAGTCTTTTATAGGGGTTTACTGGTTTTTCTATTTTTATTAGCATGGCTAACTGTCTTGGATGAGCTTTGTCATCCAGTATTTTACTGTATTGCAAATAATTCTCATTGATACTATTAAAAGCTTGCCTTTTGCTTCCTAAGCACTTGTAGCTGAAGAAATGTTTGTACTCCTTTGTCTTTCCATGATTTAGTTCGATTACGGAGGAAGTCAAGACGACGTTCACAGTGGGGCAAAGGCATTATTAAAAAAAGAAAAGTAAATAATTTGAAGAAAGATGAGGATGAAGCCAAGTTTGCAGATGACGAAAACCAAGGGGAGGACAGCAAGTTGCTGGAGAATGGGGAACTTGAGGGAAGTACTGACTGCATTGAGGAGAATGGCGAGGAAACGGGAGATCTCTCTTTGACAAATGATGAGTCATCTTGTGATCTCATGGATATACATGGAGATCAAAGACTCAATAATGGGACAGTAGCGAAAGAAAACAATATACCATCCACAGAGGAGAGTTCAAATGAGTCCCTGCTAGTAAGTAACAAGGCTACTGTGAATGCAGGGAATGACTCCAAGGATGAGTCCTCGTTCAAGAGGGATCGTTTAAATGGGGAGGCATCTGAAGGGACACCCATTCCAGGATGTCAGTATGGCAAATGTGATTCACTGAATGCAGTTTTACCTTCTGGCATCCCCGACGTGTCTTCTTCCAAGCCAAATGCAACAATTGATGACCAACTAATAGAAAAATCCGATGGTTCAAACGATATCCCCGAGGCAGAACAGATAAAACTGTCTGGCAGTGAGACACCACAAGGCAACAATAGTGAAAAGAAACTGCAAGGCACAGATACCGAGTCAAAAGAAACTGAATCAGATAAAGAAGGTATGCAATCCATTCTGCTTTGCTCACATATTTGAATTGATATCATTTCCTTGAATTAGCTGCTTCCCCTTTTGGCCAGGAAGTGTTGGCCCAAGTCAGCCCATGGTCTATGTGATAAAAATGAGACTCAGTTTCCAACGAGTGCGGGTGGTATGAGTTTATTTCTTTCCACAGCCTGCCTACCAAAATCACCAGGCTATCTAGCAGGACCTCAGTTGATCCAGTCCATTCAGACAATATCTGCCAAACTAAAGCAAAGTTTTGGATGGTTTTATTTTAGCTTGATTGGAAATTTGGCAGTGCCCAAGGGCTATCCTCCTCCTGCAGCAATTCTCTTTGACTGTGAGGAGGATGAGGCAGAAGAACGGAATTACATGAGAGCCATGCTCTCTTTGCAGCAACATCCTGCAAGAGATACTGGCAAAACCCATTTAAATTCTAGCTATTTTGTTAGCTTCTTTCAAGAATGGGTGTTACCCGTGAAGGATTAGGGACTGCATTCCTTTTTAATTTGAGATGTGGTTTCAGTCCTGTTAGGAGTTGAAGGTCCATTTTTCTGATGTGTTATATTGGCTTTCTAACCTGCAGGTACAATGAAAAATAAAAAACCTCGCAAAGTCGCTTTGACACAGGTTCCAGAAGAGCAGCTGGATCCTGTACCTCCTGTAATAGTTGACCATGACAGATTAATGGTAATGGCAGTTGGCAGTTTAATCTCACATCTTAAAGCCAGCATTTTGTTCTTTATCCTCTGTTTTTCTCAAGTAAGTCTCTGGGTGGTGGGAAGGAGGTGTCCAAGACAGGGAATGTGTTCCTCTCACTGCCCAGGAAGGCAGGGATCACATGATTAGTGCTCTATTGGAAGGAAAGGTAGGTCTTTTGGCTTTGGCAAATTCATTTAATTCGCTGAAAGCTGAACCAAATTATTGGCATTTTAGAGCTATTGCTCAGTAAAAGCAAACTGAGAATCTCTTGTTATCTAGGTATTAAATCCCATCCTCCCCTTGCTAGTTCAACTTTTACTCTAGTTCAGTATTTAGCTGAGCATTTTTCTTCCCCTCTAAGAAGCCTGGCATTTAGGCAGTGGCCTTCCATAGCGAGTACTTCACAGCCCAGTTTTTAAAATACTTTTCTTTTTAATACAATTAGGTTGTCACATAACCAGCCTGATCTTGCTGTGTGATGATATAATCAAAGGCAGATTATTCTAATTCAGAGTGTAGTAGTACTTGATTTCACAACAGCATTGCCTGGTAAAATAGACCCTCTCTGTCACCGCAGAATCTGTGAAGAAACCTCCATTACCATACTAAAACGGGAATGAACAAGCAACTAATGCTAAATTGCTAAATTTAGCTAAGTGCTAATACTTGCGCTAAACCGTTCCATAGTTTTACAAATCTATTGTGGTAAACCACATCTTCCTTAGCTCTCAAGGCAAAACCCATGCCAATTCCAGCTTCACTCCGGTGGCACTAGATACAGTTGTGCTAGAAATCTGTTCTTTGCATCTGTGAGTCCTTCACTGTTTGCATTCAAAGTGTTAATTAGATTCCCTTCCAATATTCTGAAATGTTTGCCTTCCCTTGTTACAGAATTTACTTGATTTGTTGGTTATGAAAAGTGACAACCTGACAGTTGACCAGCTTGAGAGGCTCTACTCATTGCTTAATCAATGCATTTTCCGGCATCGTAAAGATTATGACAAGTCACAGCTTGTAGAGGTAAGTTTACGCAATGCTGTAGCAATACACTGTTTCAGTTCCTGTTCCTGTTGTGTCCTTGGCACTGGAGCTCATTGCCAAGGAAGGCCCATTGAGGGCCCGTCGTGCTCACTTTCTACTAGCAGCCAGTTTTATTTGGGCCTGTAACCTTTACTAACTGGTTGCTTTTGTTTATGTTTTGCCTGACTTTGTTCCTGTCTCTTTCATCACTATTTTGTTATATGTTACTGTCCTGTTGTTGTCAGTTGCATTGAACTCCATTTGGAAAGGCAAGATACACATTTTTACAGATGCCAAGCAACAATTCTCTGTAGAGTTGAAATGTTTGTTGGTGATTAGAACCACGTTAGAAGGCTTTGCATAATCATCATAATGCATTCTGGGTTTTGGCAGTTCCCTGTGCAGAAAAAAATGTCTAGCCTTTAATTCTATCACTTCTTTATATTTAGAGTGCAGTTCTAGGCATGTTTGTACAGAAAATAGGCCCGTAGGCACCAGCATTCCTCAGCCTACTGGCCGATGGGACCCACATATCTTAACATGCAGAGGATTGTGGTCCGAGCTAGTGATGGGTGAGCAATCTGGTTTGGGGTGGAAATCCCCCCGATTTTCTTGGCTTGGCTCCCTGGACTTCATCTTGCTCTCTCTCTGCCCAAAGTCCCATCTCTCAGCAAGTGCTTGCATGCGCATCCGGTGGAAAGCGAGTGCATAAGGCTGGTTTGCACACCCACTGCCTGTGCACCCGCCATGTAAGCCAAGTTCTGCTGTTGCATACTGCTTCCAGACCAGTGCTGAGCATGGGAAAAAGTCTGGCCTGAACTTCTCATCCTAGTCTGAGTCACCTGAAGATGGATCTATAGTGCTAAGACTGATGACATTCTAAGATGTGACATCTTCCTATGAAATGGCTTTGCAAATAAGAGACTATCCAAGTTTCAACCAACCAATGACTTCCTTGCACATTCAGAGGGAAATAGAATGCATAGTATGCAAAAGTTCAAAATGTCATTTTGGGACATATCCATGCATGTCATTTTTGGGGAACATGGAAAGATTCCCCTTCATTTTGCCAATGAGTTTATACATCTTAGTTTTGGTTCCGATGTTGCATGATAACCTGATCCAAAACTAGTTAAATCAGTGAAGTTGATTTAAGCCAGGCTAAATATAATTGTAATTGGCTGAAATCTGAGTAAAACTTAATTAGCGACAGTTTGAACTGTAATAGTTCTCTGTTTTTGCGGCATCCTGCAAAGTGTGTCTGTGTTCTTAAAAATTAATTACAGAGACCTCTGCAGTTTAGCTCTTTTTTTTAAAGGTTAGCCAGTTGTCTGCATAGTGCTAAATAATCAGTGCCCCTGTCTTCCTTCCAGGAGATGGAAAGAACAGTTCATATGTTTGAAACATTCCTGTGAACTCTTCGAGATGTGCGGGTTTGTCTTTTCATAAGCTGCTCATGGGAGAGCCATTCTTCTGAGCCATTCGATTTCCGGTTGCACCAAGTATGTGCCGAGCCTTGGTCTTAACACGCTCGCTCTTTGTCTCTCTTTCTGTTATGAATTTGGTGCTATTGTCTCAGGTACCTGAAACCAGCCAGCCTACAAGAACCAAACAGAACTTCATAATATTTGTATCTTAATAGAAATAAAGAATATAATGCCACAACTTGGAGATTTTTGGTGCTACAGAAACTGCTCTCATTTCTGCTGCCTATATGCATTATCTTAGGAGAAGCTTCAGGCAAAATGCCACAAACTGGATAGAGCAGATCTAACTGATTGTTTCTTTAAGTGGGCAGCTCCTAAAATTTTACTGTTTTCTTTTTTTATTCTCTGAGGTGATGGACAGAAGCCTGTTTTTAAAGCTGGCAGTGAAGAATTGTGGTAAAATGAATTAACTTTGGTATACAATAATGTGAAGATGAGGCTCATGTGAGCTGCCTTCAATGTGCCTTTTTAGTCAGAGGAGGAGGAGGTGGGAGGAGGAAGAGGAGAAGGCTCTTAAAATGGTTGGGATTGTAGCCAATGACCGAGTTAGAAAGTTCTTTTCAAAAGCCTGTGTTCCCAAAGAACAGTTCCAGGTTCCCACACTGTTGAGTGGCAGCCAGTATTACATTTTCACATGTCTGTGTTGCTCTCCAGAAACAAAATTATAGAAATAAGCACGTTATCTCAAAATGATAAAGTGAATTTATTCCAAAAGTGTATTCGTTTTGAAAAAAAAAAAAACTGTGAAAAATTCACAGTTGGTATTAAAGGTGGCTGTAGTTGCATTTTTGATTTTAAGTGTTCCATTTTATTCCTTCAGAGTTTTTAAAAACAGGTTTCTTTCTAAACTTCCATTATTTTGGAAGCTAAGACTTGCTGGGTGGCCATAGACAGAAAAGACAATTTTCTGCTGCAGTCCTTTAGCCCTCTGTATATATTAGACCAGGCTCATTCAATACAATTCATACTGAGCAGTATTAATGAGAAAATAACGGAATGGCCTTTAATTTTGTTTAGCGTTGGAATCCTGAATTGGGCTGAGAAGGTTGCAGATCTCTAGAGTTGATGATGTGATAGCAGTTTTCAAACTCATTCCTTTGAAAGATAAGGAGAGGGATGCTCCAGGCAAGAGGAAGGCTGCTATAGGCCCAGTATCAAGCAGTCTCTCACGGTTTGCTGTTAGAACAACGCATAGAAGATCAGATGGGCAAGTGTCATGGTTGAAATAGTATCCATTGAAAAACACGAAGCGAAGCTGCAGGCATGTCTTTTCCCAAATATGCAACTCAGTATGTTTTGTTCTTAACAAGCAAAAATGGTCGTGGACTACTGCAGAAATACTCAGCTACCTCAGCTTTTTGTATTTCAACTACCAACGAGTGTTTACGAAAGGCTGTAAACCGCTTTGCTACCGCTCACATGCTAAAGCTAAGGTACTTGTGACTCAGTGTGTAGCTCATAGTACGCCACTGCTGAAAAGCAGGCTCTGGCCTCGGGCTGCTGCAGTAATCCAAAGTGCTTTCCCCAACCACACTCCCCCCCCCCCTCAGTTATTTTCTATAAGCCTTCTAACTCTAAGCCTCCCTGGGCCCACCCCAGATGCCACTTGTTCAATTCCTAATATGCATTTAGTCACACACTATTCTAAACACAACTCCTGTAGAAATGCTGTATTTTTAGGTGGGAAAGTGCGATTAAAACAAAAACATTTTGAAGTAGTACTTCATCCATTTTAGAAATTTGATTGTGCAGACTTCTCATTTTTCTGTTAGTATTTATTGCCATTATAACTGTTTAGGATATTTTGCTGTCAAATCCATTAGCATTTTGTATTTTGATGGAAATTGTTACAAAACTTTGAGATTTGATGAAACGAAATGTAGCAGATTTTTTGTAGCAAGTTTCTGGTAAAATAATTTTTTGCAAGTCTCAGGTTCTTGCAGCATTTTTAAAATATTGTAGTTCAAAGATACTTTTGTTCAAGTAGCAGCAGCACTTGTGAAAAGAAAACTGCATACATTTTTAACAGGTTGCTAAATTTGTACAAGTTTAAATCCTTTAAATATAGTTGTCAATTAATTTGAAAAGAGTATGTTAAATTCAAGTCCAGCATTAAAAATGCTTCCAACTGGTCAGTTGAGGGGGAAAAATCTTAGTAGTTTTTGAATGTTGATAAAAAAAAAATTGAGGAACTGCCTCTAAATGTTATAGGTTTTTCAGAAGAATTAGCTTATATAACTGTGTTAGTGGGCAACATGAATAAAAATTATATATTCACCCTTTTGGCTCCAAAACCACACTAAAAACATGTATTGCTTTTCTTTACCAATAGCATAGTGGTTGTAGAATTAAACTCGTTAATCTCTTCATGTTGTCAAGTCGTTTACTATCTGTATTTCTGTTGTTATTATTTTGCCACATAAAACTGGCAATAATCTGTACAAATCAATTCTTGTTTCTTGTTATGAATATTACCAATGAACTCCTGTGCAAGGCCTTATCCTAGGGCCAGATGGAGGTTAAATTTCTGTGGGGCTAATGATGGAACCGCTCGAAGATGACCATGGCTTTGGAGTTAATTGTGTTTGCAAGCTTGAATTTCACCTGTGATTAATTTATGTTTTGTGTCCTTGATATTGTTACTTGAGTTTTCTCATATGCCAATGTATTTATTATAGGATTATGGGTGGTTTGTTTTTGTTTTTGCTAATACCTTGTCTTCCCATACTTTTTTTTAAATTTGGAGGTTAATTTTTGGCTTTGTTTGAAATTTTGAATGGCAGGTCCTGTAGCTGTTCATCTTCTCTCTCTCTCTCTCTCTATTTTTTGGTGTAAATTCAACATAAGCTTGAATTTCAGTGTGTACCTGCTTCTTTTTCTATATTGTACATTGGTTTACTTAGGGAATGGGGATGTTGTTTGGTTTCATTTATGTGTGTCTACTTTTTAATTAAGTAAACTTACTTCATCAGCTATGATAAAATTTGGATTCTATAAGTTGTATTCAAAATTGTGTTTCACTTGATTTTTTTGGCATCTTGACTCCATTCTGCATTAGTTAAGTAAATTATTTAATTTTTTGAATTTCTGGATATTTTGAACATCTTACTGTAATTTGTAATATAACTGCTGTGAAATACTTGAATAAAGATGGCAAGTAAAAATTCTGAGTGTCTTAATGGTCTTTGCAGTTCAATGAAATGTTAATCTTAGGACTCTTACTACTTAGAAATTAGAACTTCATGTCTACACTTGTTTGGGCAAGAGAATGTTGACTTGTAATTGCAACATATAGAGAATTTCTATTGGCTGAGATCCAGAGCGCTACTTTAGGCATGCCAAGAGGCTCAGATGCACTTAACTGGTTTTTCAGTTGTCACTTTCTCCCTGTCGCCTCCAACTAATTTTGAAATCTCCCTTGATTTTAGAAAAGGCTCTCTACAGTTTATTAGAGGGGGATTCTCTGCCCCACATTTAATAAAATTAATCTTAATATTCTGTAGATCTTAGTGGTTATGTATGAAGCATCTGAATGAAGAAATGCTTCTTTTGGATGAAAGTGCAGAGCATTAGTGTTACCTCTGCAATCAAGAATCAGTTCTCTGCTGAATTTCAAATCCTGCAGTAAGGATATGTAAAACATTTTCTTAATTGACTATTGTAAGCATCAGGGTTAGTATGAACATAACACTGTAGGTGTGGGGAAGAGAACCATATACAGTACACCGAGTTCCTTGAAGGTAGAGTAGGGTACACATTAAGAACAACTTCCAGTCCAGTGAATGAGGAGAGGTTGAGCAGGATCCAGATGAGGACTTGGCTTTAATTTAACAGCAGACTTTTCCTCTATTAGGTTTAGTTATTAATACAAAATTCAAACCATGTTAGTGCATTTAGCAGATTTTCTAATAGGAATAAGTGTGTTGCAACAAAGCATCATGGGCAACTAGACATGGTGGGCTGTTCCATTGTGTGAGCACATACCACTTCCTGAAGGGAGGCTGACTTTTCTGCTGGTGGTTCAGTCTACAGTGGGTTGACACATTGTCTGAATCTGGGAGAGCAATTGCACTGTGATTTGTAGAGATTGGCTAGTGAGCTGCTTGACAAGAGTAGCAACTCCCCTGTTCTTGCAGTGCTACCTTGCCTCTGCCTAAGTGGCACTTTTTAGTGACCCTCGTTTATTTCCTTTTTTTTTATTCATCCCCCCACCCCCAAATATTGTGCAAATGTGCTCATATTTTTAATTCTTATTTTGGTTAGTCTTTCACAAGCTTTCTTACAGCTGTTTGATATGCTTAGTCTTTACTAGTCAATTTCTTATCTATTCTAGCTGAGGGGAAGCAGAGTAGGAAACATACATGGAAATTGACACGGTGAGACTACATCCAAGCTAATAGAGATACAGCTGCTAAGGACCAATTACTGTCAGTTGAAAAGCTCCAATAAGTAGGAAAAATTGGCTAAAGAAGCTCCACTGAAGGTGTCAAGGGAACAGCTCTCCCACTTTGCAGTGCAATCCCTTCTCTTCTAAATATCAGACTGACAATTCTTTTCTGTACTTCCCTGAGCCTCCAGTTATTCCAGAAAGGGAAGATACTGGGCTCCCACTGTGCCTCTATTCATGGGCTGCTTTTCAGACCAATTACTGCTGTGGTTACTGCAGTTATCGGACAGGGAGAGGGCAAATAACACACAGTGACAATGATGATCTGTTGAGTATGCTATGGAGTTGTTTCAGGAACAACCTACTTACTATTACTTATTGTGGAGTTGGAGTGGGGGGTGTCATAATGTGTGAATGTCCCCATGTTTTAGCGTACTCACAGGGCAGCTTAGTGTGCTGTAGGAAGGTGTGTGAAGTAACTGGTTTGATTAAAATAGCTCATTCATTGCTGAATGAAAATAGGAGTGGTTTTCACCATTTGAAAATGATTAAAATATATAATGCAATATAAGATAAGAGAGAATGGGTGCTTTTTTTAAAACTGAAGTGTTTGGATAGCTATATGTTAACATGTCTATTTTATGATATGCTTCAGTGTATCAGGTTTTGTCCAGAGCAGATGAGTTGCACTTGAAGTCAGTATGAAAAGCTGATTGTGGTTAGCCTGGGATCTTGTGAAACAAGTATGCCCATCAATAAAGCAAGATTTTTGAAGTGTCAGCATGTACAGGTTTCAGAAGTACTTTGATAACTAGGTGCCCCCAAAAACAAACTATTTTGATGGTACATACAGTGAGTTGAAGTAATACCCTGCAGAGGATTTCAATTAATATGCTCCACGGTGGCAGTTGTATTAGGATGCTTCCAGATGGAAGGTATTATGTTACTTTTCCATCCTTTCCTCAAGTGATTTTATCAGCTGAAAAGGTGGAAGAAGCTATGAGAAAATATGGGGGGTTATGAATGGGAGATACAGTCTGGAGCCTGTAAAATGTCATGAATGGGGCAGAGGGTTGCAGTAGAAAAGCATTGTCTGGTAGGGCCCTTTCTTTGTTGCAGCTGAAGTGGTACCTTAATAGGTTTTTATGGTATAAGCTATCACTGACAACACTGAATACTTTCTGCATTTGAATGAGGCAGATTCTAGTCACAAAAGGCTCAGCCATTGAAAAGAAAGCCAAAATAAAACTTATCCTTGCCTCAGGTGGCATATGCAATGTGACTAGGAACTAACACAGGTTTATCATGAAGTGCATAACAAAGCCAAATGAACCAAATATACCTTGTCAGCATCAGTGGTTACAGTTAGAAGTGTCCAGGGCAGTATGCATAAAGGAAACCAGGCATGTACCTGGTCTTCAAGGAAAATGGGTGCTGTCAAGCTTTCTGGTAATGTTGGAGAACTGAATTAAATGCACACACCCTTCTTTCCCAGATGAATCCGTTGTTATTGGCTTTGTAGTAAGAGCTGAAAGCACTATTTTGTATCCATTGCCAGGATAAAAACGGATGTAGACATTTATCTCCAGAGACACGAGACCTGTTAAGTGGCCTTGGTATGTGGTTTCTAATATTGCAGGCTCTGTACATTCTGAATTGCATCAAAGGCTGTTGAGGTCATTGTCTTCTCTCTCTCGTTTAATTTCATCTCTCCCCCCCCCCCCCCAGCTAAAGTGCACCTTTGGCAGCCCATACTTGAACTTGAAGTTTAAAGCTTTGGTCAGCAAGAATGAGAAATTGGGAGAACTTCCCAAGTTGTGAAGATTTCCTAAAATGAGTAGTTACTTTCAGCACCGTTATGTATGTTTGTGGAGAAGATAAGACTTTATGAAATGTAAGCCAGGATCTTGGCCCTTGCTGCTTTAATTAGCTAGAAGTAGCCATAGAATGCGAAAGGGCCAAATGTATGCTAGTCAAATTCACCCTTCGTATCTCAGAATTGTAAGCTTTCTTTAAATGAAGTTGGACTGTGCAACAAAAAATACTCATATAGTAGGATGATCATATTTGCAATAGTTGCAAAAACAATCTAAAATAGACGTCCAGTTGTCCAGTTTACAACTTCTAGCAGAGGCTTCTATGAGCAGAAGGGTGCGGGTGGCAGGGGTGTGTGTGTGTGTGTGTGTGTGTGTGTGTGTGTGTGTGTGTGTGTGTGTTGGCAAATTCCACTTTTCCCAGCCTCTGTAACACCAGTGTAAATGTCCTCCAATCTTCTGAAGTAGGTTTTCCAGAGAGGGGGCTGAAGAAAGGGCTTATCAATAAAAATTGCCTTTGCAACTTATGGAAGCCTCCACTTCAGCAGAGGTAGCACAATTTGATATAGCCTGCCACATTTCTGGTTCGTAGTCATTGTTCAACTTCCATCTCTCGATTTCTGTTTTTAATTGTCAGCCATTGAATGGGTAATTGTGTTTCCTACACTATTGCATGTAATGTGCCATGAATAATACATGGCCACCTCTGTCTGGGGGGGCATAGCTGTGATAGCTATGTGTATATCATCCCTAGATGTGAAGTCACCCACTATAAAAACATGGTAAAATGAACTCTTGCAGCATCCAAAAGCATATTTCAAGGAAGTACAAAATTACTCTTCTATTTAGACTTGGCCATTCATACTCCAGTGGCAAGGGTAGAGCAGTTGTCAGCCCACTATGATGACAAATGGGATTTAACAGTCTAGATTTCGTACTGGCTGACAAGCGACAGCAGGCAGTCAACATTTTGGAAATGGGGCAAATAACCTTTTAAAGGAAGCAGACAATTTGCCTTAGGAAAGGATAGTCTCAACAAGAGGTGAAAGGATGTTTAGAATTTCTAAAAGCTTTTAAAGAATGACTGCTGCACCTCTTAGTAGGCTGTGCATATGATTCATTTATCACAGGCCTTCTGCCAGGTTCCCAGAGGAAATCCAGAATAATTTGCACATACAAGCAAAACCAAAATATCCTCTGTCTTGCTCATCTTACCAACTAGTATTGACTTGTGCTGAATAAGACCTCTTCCCCAGTGTTGATAAGGTTGCCAGCTCCTTCAACTCACCCTGGGTTGCTTCAGGAGTTGAACTGGAAAGTCTGCTAGTTAGCCTGAGCCACTGCACAGAAATAAAACTGGCTGCATGTTAAGGCTGCAATGCTGTGTGATGTTGGAACATAAACACCATATTTTTTTCTGGGCAAACCTAGGCATTCTACAAATGTTTCACTGCTGATACAATCCATCTAGCCAGTGAGGCATTTGGCTTGTAATTTATTCCCTAATTCAGAAATCTACAGCTAACCCATGCTGTCCAAACCAACCTATTTGAAAGTTCTCCAAGCATTGTATGGGATTTTATTAAAGGCTTCCAGTTCTAATATGGTAAAACAATAAGGCAGCACCAATTTGTGACTGCAAAATAAAAGCTTGGTGATGTCTCGCTGTGAAGGCAAAGATCACTGTGACTGTTGATGGAAAATCTGTGTTCTGGATGTTCAGGGAAAAGAGTGGCAGAATAGCAGCTGCTCCAGTAGCTAGCATTCATGACATTTTCCATTAACTTTAAAGGTGTTTGCATCTATGGCTGGAAGGTAGCCTGATCATGAATAGTGCTGCTTCCCTGTTGGTTTAAAAAATAGTCCAATTAATGCTTAAACTAGATCTAGAAATAGATTTATTTTTAACAAGAACAGTAAACATATATACAATATCATTACAGAAAACCCTGTGTTTTTAGTATTC